CCCTGAGGTGCACGTGGCTTACAGGTGGCGTGCCCGCCGTGGCTTCAGTCCGGCCGTGGGCTGGCCCAGTGCCGGACGGCCCTGCCCAGCCGCTCGGAGGCACTGGAGCCCCCGGAGGCAGCTGGCGGGTGCTGCTTCAATCCCGGCGCCGTGTGGCCGTCACCGCAGACGCCCGGGGCCCCTCCGTGCTCTGATGAGCCAGACTTCCCGTTCCGGAGCAGAAGCGTCTCCATCTAGCATCCGCAGGCGTGGTCTGACTGCGCTGACCTGTGTCTTCCTTCCCGCCCTGCCCACCCAGTACACCCTGCCCCTAAGGCTCAGCTGGGCCCCCCCCCAGGAAGGCCTCTGGGCCCTCCAGCCTGCAGGGCCTCTGCCTGCGGACACGCTGCCCACCCTGTGGGTTGCGGAACTGGTCTTCAGCCCAGTGGCTGGGCTGCCCCTCGTCTGTCCTGGGCTCTTGCGAAGCTGCATCCCAGGGGCAGGGACCAATCCAGGTCGGCTCGGCCCTAACTCCTTCCCCCAGGGTGCGGTCTGGCTCATGGCCTGGCCCCAGAGGACTCGGCCGATGCCTTCCCCCTTGGGCAGGGCTCCCGAGCTCAGCATGGTGTCTCCTCTCAGGTGGGCTCCTGCCCGCAGGTTGGGGCCACTTTGGGGGTTCCTTGGCACAGGGCTGAGCATTCCTGATGGCTCCTGTCCGTGTGTCCCTCTGTTGCTGTGTCCCTGGGCCAGCCCACTTGGGGAAGGAGAACAGGTGTGGCCGGTGATCAGAGCTCGTGCTGGGGAGGCCCAGGCCCCTGACAAGACTACAGTGGGCGGCAGGAGAGAGCTCAGAGCCTGCTGGGGGTCAGGGCCGCATGGGGGCAAGGGATCCTCAGCGTCCCTCTGGACAGCGAGGCTGGCTTTCCCCCTTTCTCTTTGGTCCCGATTTAGAGCTTTAAGTAAGTGTGTTGGAGGAGGTGGGACAGGAGGAGAGTCTGCTGGAGGATGTCAGGTGGGCCTTGAAGGACGTGGACGGGTCTGTGGCCGTGGGGGGCTGCTGGGAAGCCCCCGTGAGCCCTGGCTACACCTCAGTCCTGCCACTGGCGGGGGGCCAGGGCACTGGACCCTACAGTGGGCAGTCTGGGCCAAATTCCTGAGGTCAGGGTCGGAGCTACGATGCCCATCTCGCAGGTGACAGAAGCGAGGCCCCACGAGCTTCGTGAGTTTCTGTCCCGGGCCCGTAAGTGGTGGCGGGAGCCCGGGTTGGTGTCGCTCCACGGCCACATGGTAACATTTCTGCCGAGTGTCCACCCCTGCCGGCAAGCCGGTGTGTGCATGAGGCACAGAGATGGGGAGGGCGTTCTGTGGGGGCACATGTGCTTGGGCGTGTCTTTCGGACAGGCTCAGGAAGGGTGGCCTCGGGAGGATGGCCGTCTCCCAGGAGGGCAGGTGCACGTGGAGATGTCCACACGGACACGAGGATACCCAGACACTGACTCGCAGAGCCGGAGGGCCAGTTGGATGGGTCCCACTTCCCGCGCCGCCTCGGTCACTGACGGGCTTTGTGGCCTCGAGCAAACAGCGGCCCACACCCTCAGCTGGGGGGCGGGTCATGTGCATGCCTTCTGCCTGTGCACCCCACACGCGTGTGTGCAGGACACACATGTACACACGCTCGGTGTGTCTGGCTTCTCATGGACCGACGCATCTATAGGAAGGTCTCACGTCCTCATCCCGCCGCTCCCCTGCAGCCGCTCCCCCTCGCTGGGACCCCCACGAAGCCCAGCCCGTCACACCCGTGGTCAGCGTGGCAGTGACCTAGAGGGGTGGTGGCCCAAAGGGAAGGATGTGGGAGGCGCCGGCGCGTGGCCTATAGATCCCGGAGCCTCTGGCCTTCAAGCTCAGGCACTGGACAGACTGGGGTGAAGCTTCCGCTGAGCCCTCTGCCCCGCCCGACCCTCAGGGACCAAACAGCAGGGACAGTGGGACCGTCCTGGCCGTCCAGGCTTCGCCTCGTGGACCAGAATGGGTGTGCGCAGCGAGGCACATCTGCGTGTCAGTCTGGTGTACGTGCTGCTGGCCGGGAACGTGTGTGAGTTAAGGTAAATTCGGCAGGACATTTAAATGACGGTGCTTTCTGGATCGCAGGCCTCTCTGCATACATTCGGTTTCTACTCAAGCGCTTCTTTTTGTGGGTTTGGTTTTTTTGGTGCAGGTTATAAATGGTTTTGCTTCTTAAGTCTCTAACTCCGGCTCCTCCTGACAACGCAGGGGTGCGGCTGGCTTCGTGCGTCGGTCTCGTACCCGGCGACCGTGCTGTTCCAGGGCCGTTTCCAGTGGGTTTTTTCGATTCTGTAGAGGTTTTGTTTCTGTGTAGACATGATGCCGTCTGAGCATCGAGGCGGTTTGGGTTTTTCCTTTCAAATCCGTATCCCTTTGGTTGCTTTTCCCTGTCTTGCCGCAGCTGCTGGAGCACCCCCTCCCCCCAACACTGGTGCAACCTCACAGGAAAGACAGAGTCTGTGAGCAGGGACTGGCTGCCCAGCCTGCCACGCGGCCCACAGGGACCGGCAAGCGTCGAGAGCTTAGAGAGTCCCCGCGGGGAATGTGGGTGCCCCTAGCTGGGACTCTGGGCTTCAGAACGCACCTCCCAGCATGCTTCTGGCCTGGCTCCCGGCACGGTGCTCAGGCTGGGGGTGCGTTTGGGAGTTAGTGGTGGGTGAGGCTACAGCGACAGGCAGGGGCAGGGTCCCTGGGCCCATGGGGCTGGTCTCGCCCTTCAGGAACAGTTTGTGCTGTGGGATCTGGGCGTATAGCAGGGAGCAGTGCCAGCTTCCTGCAGGGGTGCAGGGCACGGAGGGGACAGGGCTGCCGTGGGCTCCCTGGGGCTGTTGCAGTGCCCATGCCCGGCTCCCGTAGCCAGGGCTGGGGCAGCACGCACCTCTCCCTTGCTCACTGGCGTGTGTGCCAGACGGGCTCCTCCGATGTCGGTCAGAATTGAAAACGGACATTCGCCGTCAGGTTCCTCGATGTGCAGATGAGGAAACTGAGACAGGGATCTTCTATAAGAAGGCGGGTCTCTCCAGACACATGACGTGTGACCTGCTGGCCAGGGCTGGTGCCCTGGGAGGACCAGCCCTGAGTGCAGGGTGGTTTCACTGTCTCCCCTAGACTCTAAGACGCCGTAGTCCCTACTGGTGACCAGACCTCTCTGGTCACATGGTCGGTGACCGTGCGTTCCGCGTGTCTCCTGTGCGACGTGCCGTGTGATTACCGGGCCTTCCGCTGCAGGAGAGGAAGCGTGATTAGGAAACCTGTAAGGACGTTTGCTGAAAGAAAAGCTTCGAGTGTTTCCCAAAGGGCCCGTGTGCGAGCGGGTCCGTGCCATCCGAGCCCGAGTCGCTCCAGCGCCCCCCGGGAGCTGGGACCTGCGCTCTCAGGCCACGTGGTCCGGTTTTAAAGATGTGAAGGTGTGAGGAAACATGCCTCTTCAAATGGGTAGAATAGGTTGACTCAGGAATCGAATCACTCAGCCCTGGAGAAGCCGCATCTCCCCAGCCTCCTCCCGTCAGAGCCGCTCCACAGGAACGTTTGCTGGCGTCTTGGGCATGTCCTCCCCGATGCGGTGACACGGCTGGACGTAAATTTGTACCATAATCTCTGTCGCGGACGCTCGCTGTGGGCTCACAAGCGCTGTGATGCGTCGCTCGAGGGGGACACCCTCCCCGGCAGGTGTGAGCTGTCCTCACCTTACAGCTGGGGAAACTGAGGCACAGGGGCCGTGGAGGGGCTTACCCGCCCTCCCATAGCTTCTCAGGGCTGCAGCCCAACCGTGGATCCAGGCCGTCCCTCCTCAGACCTGAGCATTTAACCAACACGCCGCCAGAATCCGTGTGCAGACACAGGCGTGTTTTCCAAACTGGCCCAAGGGAACACACCGTCCCGGCCTTTCCTGCCTCTCTCCCTCCTGGCCGTGCCCGCGGGCATCCTTCCACCAGGACCACTGCACCGTTCCGTCCTGTCCCCACGTGGACACCGGGGCACCTTCCAGGCTCCGGTGCTGCCGGACACGATGGTTAAACTGCTCCCCGATGACCCTCGGGAAAGTGACAGGGCAGGTTTCTCCCGACACCTTCATGGTTTCAGTTTGGATGGTCCCAGCTCTTCACGGGTCTGGGGACGAGTGGAGGGCGTGAGCGCCCGGGTGCCTGTGGAGGGAGCTCAGAGAGGGGCTCCAGGGCAGCCTGGCGCTGGCGGGCGGAGGAGGAGGCCACGTTCATGTGTGTCCTCACTGCCCCGGTGGGCCGCCGGCACCCATCGTGCCTCGTGTGGACCCAGAGGCCGCAGCTCTGGGCCTTCCACGAGGCGGATGCTGCACCTGCCTCTCTTCCCATCCTTCAAGCCCGTGGCCAATGGCCGTCCATACCTTCCGGGGCAAACCAAGGCCGTGGTGTGGAAACGGGGGCCGCGGGGTTCCAAGCAGGGCAGGGCTCAGGCCCAGGCCCCCTCCCGACTGGGGCTTGCGTGTCTAGGCTGCACGTGTGGTGTGGGCGTTGGCCTCCCCGCCCCCGTCACCCTCCCACCACCGGGAGTGGCCAGAAGCAGGCGGCCTGTGGGAAGACGCGAACATGATCGGCCGTGACTTTAGGGGCCTCCGTACCCTGCTCTGCTGACCTTGGTGTCCCATTTTGAGCAGGTGGTGGGGCCTTCGAGAGGCCATCGTGAACAGAGCCCCATTCCCACGGGAGAGACCCCGCGCCCTTGCGGCACAGCCATGCGAGTTGTGATGTGCCCAGCGACCTTGGCAGCGGCCTCGGCTGACTCCAGTCTCAGTTTGGGGCCCGCTTGTGCCTGACCCACTGCGGCATGTTGGAGGGGTCGGGGGCCCAACGCAAGCCGCGTGTCCAGCCGGCTCAGCGAGGGACGGGGCTGCTGACGGCCGTCGGTCTGGGGGCGCAGGTCTGCCTGCCGCATGCCGGATGCGGTCTCGTGCCGGGCTCACGGAGTGTTCCCTCTGGCAGGTGGCCCTCCCCCGGGCGGCGGTGGCCCCTGGAACCTGAGAAACGTGCTTGGAGACTCCGTGGAGAGCTCGGACGATGAATTCTTTGATGCCAGAGGTGAGTGGACGCTGTTGTCCCATCGTTGGCTGGATGACCGTTCTAGAAGCCCCGGGAAGGGGCTCCCTGTGGGGGTTAGTGTCTTTCCCTCCTTGGACACCACGTCCCACACGTCACAGGCACCCGATCCGTGAGTCCCCGGCAGGGGCTCTGCCTTCACCCTTCCGCCTCTGGGTCTCCTTGGGTGCCGTGCGAGGCGCTCGCCGGGCTGCAGAGGCCATGGGGTGTGGCACTGCCCTCCTCGGGCCTGTGGTTCAGTGCGGAGGCCGAGCCCAGCAGTGACCCCGGGGAAGGCACACTCCTGAGGGGGAAGGACGCCGCAAGTGAAACGCACCAGACGTTCCAAGGTGACGTGGGTCCCCTGATGGACGTGGGCTGGGGGGCCTGTGGTGTCCTCTCCACGGTGACGAGGGACGAGGGCAAGGAGCCTACCAGACACAGGAAGTGGCAGGTGGGCAACGGAGTGTGTCCAGAATTCCCAAGTGTCCCCGTGGTCGCACTTGCCAGGCCCATGTGCGGGTGGACGAGAAGCCCCAGAGGCCTCCTTCTGCCCCCGGAGCACCTGGTCCTCACCAGCTGGCTTGGCCCCACCCAGGAAGGGCACCATATGTGGGGGGTCAGCTCACTCCTGGGACGGCTGGCTTTGAAGTGCCTGGCAAAATGGGGTCTCGAAAGACAGACTGTGCGTTTGGGACACTCGGGGCACACGGGACACTCGGGGCACTCGGGACACTTGAGGCACTCAGGACGTGATCTCAGCCTTGCCATTGATCGTCTCCCGGCCTCAGTTTCCCTCTGCCCTCCGTGCCTCCAGAAATGGGGAATGCCCGGTTCTGGTGCCTTCCAGGATGCCCAGCTGGGCAGGGGGAGGCTTGGCCCTGAGGCCACCCCCGAAACAGCCCCCTTGGGACTTGTTTGCTGTCCCCACTGGTGTCCGTCTGGAGGGGCTGCCGGGGCCGCGTCTCCGTAGCAACTACCCTTCAGTGTGACGACAAGTGTCACTTCTCTGATGCTTAGGACGTCTGTTTCAAATACTTGGCTGTTCATCGGGGCTGGGGTTCCTAGAGGACGGGGATGGCCTGCAGTGGGAGCACTGTGGTGTGGTGTGGTGGGCGGGTCAGGCCTGCTCACCTGCTTCCCCTCTGAGGGTCCCACCTTCCGCCCTGCCCGCTGTGCCTCCCGCCACACCTGTTCTCGCTGTGGCCTCCCCTCCCCCAGCCGCAGGTCCGCCCTCTCCCCCTCCCTCTGCCCTAGGCTCCTGGGAACCCTGTTGTCTGCTACCCACTGACTAGCACCCCAGCCCTCAGCCACAGGAGCCGCCCCACAGGCTGCGCGACCACCCTTACTTCTGGGCTGCCCCCTCCCCTCCTCCTGGTGCTCCGTGTGGTCCCCCCTCAAGGCCTCTGGAGGGTCCTGGGCTCAAGCGAGCAGTCACGGATGAAGCCGTCCTCCGCTGCCTGAGCTGAGTCAGGCCCCACCGGCAGCTCTCAGCCTCGGGGCCAGGCTGTGGGGGTCCAGGACTCGAGGGTCCCCTCCCTGGCCCTGTTCTCCCGCCGTCCCCTCCCCCAGCAGGGCCCTGTGTCCTCCAGCCGTTGGGGAGCCCCTTGGTGGGGTGCTTGTGCCGAGCAGGCCCCTGCAACATTACGTCCTCCTCCTCAGTGTTCTGATGGGGAAGATGGGGAAACTGAGGCCACGTCAAGATGGGGTGGCGGGGCTGGAACCCCAAAGCTCAGTGTGGGGGGGTCAGGTCCCTCTTTCTCTGACTTAGTACTGAGGTTGGACCTTCTTCCATCCTCCAGCCTGTAGGCCCAAACAGGGTTTCCCTGGTGGGGTGGGAGCCCCTCGCTCTGGTAGTACAGGGGAGAGGGTTGGGCTCTGGGTGGGGGGCTCGGCTGTGTGTGAGGGGTGCGAGGCATTGGGGGCAGGAGAGTGGAGCAGGCTGAGTGCCCAGCACCCCCTGGGCAGAAGGCCAGCTCCCTGGGCACTGTGGGCTGCGTGCTGGGGCCCAGATTCCCGACCCAGAAGAGGTGCCTCCCTCCTGTCAGTCACAGGAGATGTGGGGGCTACAGACCAGTCTGGAGGTTGGGGTGCAGAGCGAGGGCAAAGCCAGGGCGGCTGGGGGGGCCATGGCTCAACTCCATGTCAGAGCTGGGGGCCTGCAAGGTCTTTGAGTTCAACACTGCTACCCCAATCTCCAGGCTGGGACACTGAGGCCAGAGGACTGGGAAGCTTGCTCAGGGTCGCTCAAGGTCACTCAAGGAGTCAGGCAGAGCAGGGGCTAGAATCCGCCCACCCGTCCCCTCTTTCAGTGTTTACTGAGTACCTGCACGTTGGGGAGCAGGCGCTGCCCTCGCGTAGGGCACACGGGGCGCATGGGCACTGTCCCAGCCCTGCAGAGCCTGCTGGTCGGTGGTGGTGGGCGGGAAGACAGCGGAGAGCAGGTGAGCCCCACTGACAGCTGCCGAAAATAAAATAAGGGAAAAAACAACCAAGACCACGGTGTGAGGCTGCCACAAGCCCACGGGAACCATAGCACGGTGCTGCCACGAGCCCACGGGGAGCCACGGCACAGCTTTGTCTGGGCTTTCTGTGGGTACACAGCCTCAGGCGGGAGGGAAGGTAGTGGACAGTGCAAGCCACCTGGACAGAGATTGGGCCGGTGACTGGCCCGTGTCTGACCCCAGGCAAGTCTCTGGGGCCCATCATGTTGCACATGGCAGGGGTGGGGTCATTTGTCTCAGGGACGAGTGGGACACTGTGCCGTGGCAGGGGCGGGGGGCAAAGGGGCCTCACAGAATCAAACCACAGGGGAACTCCTGACCCCTGTCCTCTCATTAAGGCCGAGAGAGGAGGAGTAGGTGCCACAGAGCTGCCCCGAGGTGTCCGAGATGGGCTGTGCGGGGACCCTGTGATGGCCGTGGAGGGGGCAGGCTGGAACACGGTACATAGTGCCGGGGAAGGTGTGCAGTCCTGAACCCAGAGGCCCCAGGGGAGGGCTCTCCTTGGTCCTGAGAGATCAGTGTTTGATGCAGGGGTAACAAGGGTGGTGTTGGGCCAGTGACCATTGAAGGGGTCACACCCTCGGCTCCGTGGGCTCAAGGTGGAGCCTCGCTGTGCAGAACAAGGATTCTCGCTGCTCTAAGATCCCGCGGCCCCGGGGTGGGAGGATGCGGAGGCCGTGAGTAAAAGGTGAGGACCCAGCTCACATCAGGGTCCGAGTCCATCCAGGGTCTGGGCTAGGCAGGGACGGGGGCTCCATGGGGGAGAAGTCGGTGCAAAAACCTTCCCCCGGAGTCTCTGGGGGCGACGGTCAGCACGCGGGGTGCAGCCTTCAGCTGAAATGCAGAATCAGTAACCAGAGCACGTGTCCAGCCAGCGCGTGGGCCCTGCCGAGAGGCACGTACCACAGCAAAGGGACCCAGAAAGACAGAGCGGCCACAGGCTCCAGGAGTGCGCGTGTGCGTGTGTGCGTGTGCGCGCGTGTGTGTGCGTGTCCTCTCGGGGAGGAGCCCGCTGTTGCCAGGGTAAACCCCCCAGGCTGAGAGCTGAGAGTGGGCAGAGGGGAGACCCAGGGAGGGGAGAGTGCGGGCGAGGGGCTGCTGGGGGCAGCGAGCACAAGAAGCTGTAGAAGGTTCCTGAAAGCAGAGTGGGGGGTGGCGAGCGGCTCCCCAGGACTGAACCGGGGTGTTGAGAGAGATCCAGTGGGAGAGGAAGAACAGTAAGAGCCCAGTGGGGACAGGGAGGTCCTGAGCCCAGAGAGCCGGGCAGCAGGAGCCAAGCACGTGGCCAGAGCAAGGCCTGCCCTGGTGGTGGGGGACAGTATGGCAAGGACTGCTACAGCCTGAGAGGAGTGGGCTGGCCTGGAGGGGTGCGCCCACGGACACCTTGCCTTCCTGACCTCATCTAACCTCAGGGCAGCCCCTGACGCCACGATGTGGTTTCATAGTGAGAAATACTGAGGTTCGTAAACACACGTTACCGTTCGAGGTCCAAGAGCCCGCAGATGGTGCACCCAAGGTTGAAGAGAGCCCGTCGAACCCCAGAGCGAGCTTTTAACCCCTTGGCGGTCCTGCTCCCCCAAGGGTTGTACCCCCTGACATCTTCTGACAACACATGGGCCCCTGGAGCTTCGCAGATGCAGGGCATCCTCTCCTGTCCTCGGGACGGGCTTGCTGGGAAGGGCTGTCGAACCAGAGCCCCGCGGAAGAGACACGAGGACGGGAACAGCTGGGGGACACGTGGGGCAGAGTGTGGACTGGAATCTGGCTGGGGTGTGCCCAGAACACGGCGCTGCATGCCAGTGTAGACGTGTGACTGCGGGGAGCACGCCGCCCGTGGGGAGCAGTCAGGGTGTATGTGTGGCGCCTGGCTGGGGGACTGGGCAGCCGACGCAGGGTGTCCAGGCCAGGCCATCCGGATTGGAGGGCTCTGGGAATGGTGCACCTGGGTTCAAATCCCGGTTCTGGCTGGTGGCCTCTGGCAAGGTCCTGAATTGCTCTGTGCTAAGTTTTCCTTGTCTATAAAATGAAAATGGTGCCGATCCTTACCTTTTTAGATGTGTCACGAGGGCAGAGTAAGGGGATGTCTGTGAAGCACGTGTGACCATCTCCGTGCAGAGCCGGCATCCGGTGACGTGGGTGAATCCCTCCAGGTGAACTCTGGAGGCAGGAGCAGGTGTCCCGGCAGGAGGCGGGGTCGGGGAGCCCCGGCACGGTCAGGACCCTGGACAGCTCTCCGTGCTCCGTCTTGGCAGCCATGTGGGTCCTGTCCCCTGCTCCCCGCTTGCCCTGAGCCGTGGGATTCTCCTTGTGGACCCGCTAACCCTGTGAGAGGGGGCTTGGCGCCCTTGGCAGGAAGGCTTGTCCCTTTGACAGCTGGGCCAGCGGACGCCTGTGGGATCGGTCTGGAGGACGCGCCCTGCTCTGGGATGGGGCCTGCACCAGACGGGTGTGCAGCTGACATGGGACCTGGGGACCGGCGCTCAGTGTGGTTGGGGAACATGGCCCCACTGACTCCTTCGGCGTCATCCCCGAGCCCTTCTGGGGAAGAGACGGGATAGAGACAGGGTTGAGGGGGGCGTTGGAGAGGACGGAGGCATTACTGGGTTCACAAGTGTGACATGAGAGCCAAGGGGTCAATACAGATCAAGGCCTGCTTGGAGCCCGATGTCTCCTGCCCTCCTAGGTACAGCGGAGCTGGTCCTGCCCCTCTCAAACCCCAAGTGCTGGTGGCAGCACCTCTCACGTGGGGGAAGACCATACTGTCTTTATCAACCAGCAATCCATGCCCTGAGAGCTTTGCCCCATTGCCTCGTTGAACCCTCACGGCAGCTCTGTGTGTTGGGGGGACTTGACGCACCCATTTTTCTGATGGGAAAACTGAGGCTCGGAGAAGCCAAGTAACCTACCCAAGGAAAAACTGAGCAAGGGGCATGGCTTTCCTCTTCCTTGCAAACACGTTTCCTTTCAGGAAATACCGCTCTTGGTGGCGGAAATGGAGACAGATGGGGCTTTCAGCCTCCCTCATGACTGTCCCCTCGTCCCTTACTTTGCTGCAGCCTGTGGGGGCCCCGTAGGGTGCAGCAGCCATGCCTGCCCGCGGCAGAAGCTTCCGGGAAGTGTCGTAGCTGTCCACGAGCACAGACCCCTCCGGTAGCGGAAGTCTGCCTCCGCAGGTAGGTCACCTGGACGCAGCCCACGTGCTCATGCCCGCCTCTGCTTCTGCCCACAGAGGAGGTGGCGGAAGGGAAGAGTGCCCTCCTCATCGGGATGAGCCAGTGGAACTCCAACGACCTGGCGGAGCAGATGGAGACCATGGGGAAGCTGGACGAGCGAACGGGTGAGGCTCTGCTTCTGGGGCCGGGGTGTGTGCACGCGTGTGCCGCAGGGGCCGGGGCGCGAGCGACGGCGGCGAGAGCTCGGGTCTCTCTGGGCACCTCCCCGAATGCTGTGGCCATGTGGGCTCTTGTGCGGGGCTTTCTGTGCTGGGCGGCCGAGCTTCCTTTGTCCGTGGGATGACCTCCCCCGGGGGCACGCCTTCCTGGGGGCAGGGTCGGGGGCGAGCTCCGGGGTCGGCGGCACAGGTGAACCCGGGGCGGCGGGTCGAGAGCCTCTGGGAAGGACCTGGAAGGGGAGCAGGACGGGCCGCACCTGCTGCGGGCCGAGTGGTCGAGGACGGAGTGTGCAGCTGGGTTGGCCCACGGGCTTTTCATGGAGGTGTCCATCAGCAGAGCAGCCCATCCTCCCAGGCGTCCTGCCCATTTGGCCGTTTCACATCCCTGAGAGTTTGCTGAGCACCTACTGCATACAAGCGTTTGGCAGACGGAACCCTGGGGCCCACCTGGGGCCACCGCTTGTGACGGTGACGCAGGACAAGACAAGATGTAAGGGTTCAAGCTTGGGTGGAGGGTCGCCGGGCTCCGGGGAGAGAGGGGCCAGGGAACGTTCCCGAGGACGGAGCTACAGAGCCAGGCTTCGAAGGGTGGGTGGAGCAGGTCGCTTAGTGGGAAGGCTGCGTCATCAGAGCCTGGGTTGGATGAAGGCCTCTTAGGAAGCAGGGCCAGATCTAGAACCACCTGGGGTCAAAGGGGCTGGCCTCTGGGCGTGTTGTCCCCAGGCTAGTCCCTCCTGTCCCCCCTCCCCTGGCCCAGAGAGCACCTCTTCCTCATTTCCCAGCCCCGTCATTCCTCACACACGCAGGGGCTGGGCCAGGCCGTCCCCTCAGGAAGTGTTCTGTGAGATGGTCCCGGCCCAGCCCGAGAGGACGGCTGTCTTGGTGGCAGCCGGCTCGGTGCTGGTGTCTTGACCGGAGCCACTTCCCTCGCGCCCATCCCCCGCACCCTGGGCTTGGGGCACTCACCGTGCCAAAGCTGTGCTGTGAGACGGACGCACCAGGGACGGATTGGTGTTCTTCCTACAGATGGCGCACCCCAGGCTTACAGATGCTGTTTTGCCCGAGGGCCTGGGAGCTGGTGCGGCACCTCGCTCAGTCCTTCTCCCTTGTATCCTCATTGCCAGCTGGATGGAGGTGGGCTTTGGGGCCTCTGCAGAGTAGTCAGGTCTTAAAGAAACAGCCTGAGTTACTGGCCCGTTCCCAGGAAGGGCAGGCTCCAGTCTGGTCCCCAGGGCCTGTCCAGAGGCAACGCCCCGGTTGTCACAGCCGTGCGTTTGCAGACGGACCCTTGGCCTGCCCTTGCCTTCACCCCGAAGCCTGGAGAGGCCCAGAAGGGGTCCCAGGTTCCAGCTGCTTCCCGGGACAGTGCTCAGTCACTATAAGACAAGCCCAGCCTTGCACTCAAGACCTATCTGGCCAACCTCTTCCCATCCCCGCCCCCCTGACTCAGCCTGTGCGAGCTGGGAGGGGCAGGAGCAGCAGCCAGGGCTGGGGGGGCTGGGCGGACAGGGGAGGGAGAGCCTCAGGTGCTCTCCGTGGTCTGGGCATGAACTTGGCTCTGCGGGCAGGCAAACTCTGGGTACCTTTGGCACCTCCCTTTCTTCGTGGGCACAGCGGGGCTAGTGCCGGTGTTGGGGGGGGTTAAGTGAATCAGGACTTGCCAAGTGTGTTCCGTACCGGGTCATCACGCTTCGGGGACCAGTGCGTTCCGGCAAGCACCTGACGGGCTCACTGGGAGGGGTGCGCTGGGTCAGAGCCACGGAGCTGATGCTGTTTCCTCCCCGTGGGCAGGGGGAAGCAGGGGGCGCAGGGGAGGGTGAGGAGGGAAAACCGCTGTGTCTGCAGCCCCGGGGACTCAGGGTGTGACTCATTCACAGAGCAGAACACACGCATTCATCTCATCCGCCGGCCATCTATTCGCCACAACTCGGGCCGCTCCTGCGCTCGGTGAGGGCACAGCCCCCTGGAGCCGAGGAGCAGAGGTCCTGGCTACAGTCACCGTGCAGGAGGGCACTGAGGCCCGGGCATGACTCTGGGCAGCAGAAGCCCCGAGGACAAATCAGGAGGAGGCTGCCCCGGAGACCAGCCTGGGCGGTCGCCGCCGCCTTCCATGATGACCTCATGTCTGTCTCCAGCCGCGACTTCTTCCCTGGGCTACAGACTCAGCTGTGGGCTAGCTGCCTTCCTGTTAGCTCTGCCTGGATGCCTGAAGCCGTTTCGTGTTCCCTGAGTTCCTGACGGCCTGTGAGGTGTGACGTATACCACACACACACGTGCACATATGCGTACAACATATGTGTACAACACAACACAGTGTATACTAGGTACGCACGTGCAGCATGTAATGGGACATGACAGGCACTCTGTACACACAAAACGCGCAACATCAGGTCTCTATACGGCACTTGTTTAAGTTACTATATGGCACGTTGTATATGTTACGTTGTATACAACTGCATATTGATGTGCACATAGGCGCGCACGCACACGCGTGTTTTCTTTATATTATTTTTCAGGGGTTTCTTTCTCTGTTTCCCCTTCCACACTTACCTTAGAGACGTTCCAGACCTGGGTCTCCCCTTGCCTGTCCTGTTCCTATTTCTTGGTCCTTGCTGGGCTCTGGAAACGTTCCTCGCTCCAACCCCATCAGTAGCTCCCTGGTTCTGTCTTCTCTAGCCATCGCCCTTCCTCTGCTCAGCTCTTCTAGGGTTTTTTTTGGTTTTGGTTTTGGTTTTTTGGGGGCTTTTTTGCTTTTTTCTTTTTCTTTCTTTCTTTCTTTTTCTTTTTTTTAACAATCATCTTTTCATTTTCGTGCACTGTGTTTTTTTTCCATAACAACCTGGTATTTATCCGTGGGTGCCACAGACTCATTCTGTGCTCTGCAAGGTTTCTTTCTTCCTGTTCTTTGACATGTCAGAGTCCCCTGGTGGGTTAGAAGTGGATGGAAATAGACCACACGCACTTCAGTGTGGGCTAATTAACCAAAGATCCCTCAGCGAGATTATGACATGGAACGGGAGCGAGCTTGAGTCCAGTGATCTCAGGAAGCACAGTGCTGTCATTAACATTGTCCAAGGAAGGTAGGTCCTGCCAAGTTCTTTTACAAACTGAGACACAATTCACATACCATATCACCCACCCTTGTAAAGTGCTCAATTCAGCGCTTTCTGTACAGTTTGTACATTCATGACCCTGAGTAGCCACCACTACCTAGTTCCCGAACATCTCATCGGCCCAAGAAGAAATCCCATACCTACCAGCAGCCACTCCCCATTTTTCTCTCCTCAAAACCCTGGGATTTGGTATGCATAGACTCCAACAGTATGTGGCCTTTTGTATTTGCTGTCTGCCTTGGCATCGTGATTCTGAGACTCAGCCCTGCTGTGGCATGAACCAGAACATCATTCCATTTTACGGCTGAATGATAGTCCCACATTCGGTTCATCCATTCATCAGCTGGTGGACATTCAGGTGGTTTCCTCCTTTTTACTGTTATAAGTAATTCTACTGTAAGGGTTCAAATACGGGTTTTTGTGGGGACACTCCCGGGACTGGGAGTGCCAGGCTGCCCCCTGTTCCCTTCCTACCAGTGTTGTACCAGAGTTCAGACAATCCACATTCTTGTTAGCACTTGTCTTTGTCTGTTGTTCGATTATAGCTGTGCCAGTGGGTATGACGTGGTGTATGAGTATGGATTGGATTTGCATTTCCCTAATGACCGATGATGATGAACATATGTTTATGTGCTTTTTGGTCATTGTTTATCTTCTTTGAAGAAAGTCTATTCAAATCCTTTGCCCATTTAAAATCGGATTGTTTTTCTCTTGTTGAGTTATAAGTGTTCTTTATATATTGTGGATACTAGACCCTTATCAGTTATATGATTTACAGATAGTTTCTTCCAGCTGTGGGTGTCTTTTCACTTTCTTGATAATACCCTTTAGAGTGCAAATTTTTAACAGTCAGATGAAACCCATTTTATGTACTTTCACTTTTATTATTTCTGTGTTTGAGGCCATATCTAAGAAACCATCAACTAATACAAAGTCATGAAGATTTACCCTTAAGAGTCTTATAGTTTTAGCTCTTCCATTTAGGTCTGATTCACTTAGAGTTCATTTTTATATAGAGTGTGAGGTAGGGGTTCAACTTCATTGTTTTGCTGGTGGGTTACCAGTGGTACTGGAACCATTTATTGGAAAGACAATTATTGAATTGTCTTGGCATCCTTGTCAAAAGTCAGTTGATCAGAAACATAGGGATTTACATTTGGGCTCTCAGTTCTATTCCGCTGATACGTGTGTATCCTTAGGCCTGCACCACATCATCTTGATAACTGTGCCTTTGTAGTTAGTTTGAAATCAGGATCCATGTGCTTTGCTCTCTTTTGCAAGTTTTTTTGTTTTGTTTTGTTTTTTTTGGCTATTCTGTATTCCTTGTATTTCCATGTGAATTTTGGAATCGGCTTCTCAATTTCTGCAAAAAACCCAGCTGGGATTTTAATAGGGGTTGTGTTGAATCTGTAGATCAATTTGGGGTGTATCATCATTTCAACATTTTCAGTCTTCCAATCCATGAACATGGGATGTCATTCTGTTCATTTAGGTCTTCTTTAATTTCTTTCAGGACATTTTGTAATTTTTAGGGTACAAGTTTTGCACTTGTTTTGCTAAATTTATTCCAAAGTATTTTATTCTTTTTGGTGCTATTGTAACTGGATTATTTTCTTCATTTCATTCATTGACTATTTGCAGGTATATAGAAATGCAATTGATTTTTGTATATAATCTTGTATCTGCAAGTTTGCTGAAATCATTTATTAGGTTTATTTTGGGGTGAGGATTCCTTAGGATTTTCTATATGCAAGATCATGTCATCTCCAAACAGGTAGTTTTACTTCTTCCTTTCCAGCCTGGATGCATTTTATTTCCCTTTCTTGCCTGTATTCCCTGGCTAGATTCTCCAGTGTCATACTGAATAGCAATGGTGGGAGCTGGCATCTTGTCTTGTTCCCAATCATTGGTGGAGTTTTCAGTCTTCTGCTGTTAAATATAATGTTAGCTGGGCTTTTCCTGTAGTTGTCATTTGCTTGGTCGAGGCAGTTCCCTTCTATTCTGGGTTAGAATAGGGCTTTTCTCATGAAAGGGTGTTGTGTTTTGCCAAGTGCTTCTTCTGCCTCTATTGAGATGATCCTGTGGGTTTTGTCCTGTTTTGTTACTGTGATTGACTTTCATGTACTGAACAGCCCTGTGTCCCTGAGCCCTGTGTCCCACTCGGTCCTTGCCATGTTGCTATCTTTTATGTTCAGAGTCTGCATATGTCTTCCTGAATAATTTATACTAACAGTCTGTGAGCTCTCACTTAAGGGGCTGCTTACAGTCTTGTTTTAGGGACAAACTGAGTGTCATCCGGCCACATTCTTATTGTCAGGTGGGAAGCAGGCACCGCCCAGGTGTCCCGACCACCTTCTCTGCCTTCCCTTTCCCAGAGAGCTGTTTTATTTACCCCATGATTCCTCCCAAACTCTGGCTTATGTCCTGTGTCTAATAATGTGGTTCTCAAAGAGTGTTCCCTGGACCCATAGCATCAGCATTACTTGGACACCTGTCAGAGATGTGAATTTTGGAGCTCCCTCCCAGACTCACTGAATCTGTGTTTTAAGTGTCCTTTAGGTCCTGGTGGTCATGGCTGGACTCTGAGGTCCTGCTAACTGGCCAAAGGGTCTGCAGATCCATTTTCCTGGGCTCACCTCCCTTCGTCACTGAGTTTGGTGTCTTGCTTACATGCTGTTGGTCTTCCTGTGATACTGGGTGACACTGTGTACCGACTCCGTAGTTGGACCCCCACCCCCACCCCCAGCCTGTCTCTGGCTGCCGGGATGTGTCTGTTTATTGCAAACAGCTGTGCTCTGATTATCGGGGAGGGTAGCACATGCTGCTGGATGACATGAGCTTCTGGTTTATTCTTCTTGGTATTTTTAGCTTCTCAGGGTGTCCTGTTCTCAGACACTCAGCCCTTCCCACACCTGAGAGCAGATGCCTCTGCTCGGTCAGCACAGGTGGGTATTGGGAGGAGGACCGGCAGGCCCAGGTGGTTGCAAAAGCTTCTTTTGCTCCTGGGTTTTCCATCAAGGAGCCTGCTCTCCCCCGAGGTGCCCCTCCTTTGGCCACAGCCTTCCTTCCTCTGCAGGATGCAAATTATGACTTCCCCTCTCCTCGTTGGCAGTACAGCTGCGTGACCTTGGTGGTCCTACGTAGCTCCACACTGAGGGTCTCTCACTTGATTTTATGCTCTGCTGTTGCCATCTTCAAACTCTTAGTACTTCTGAACATGGTCCCCATCTTTTCTTTGTGGCTCTCACATGCCATCACCAGCCCTGCCTCCCCCGACCCGTTCCCTCTGCTGTCCACCTCTCAGGGGTGCTTGACAGTGTCCGCTCTGCCAAGGACACCCCCTTCTTATATTATAGTACTGCTAAAGACCAATTCCTAGGAAATTATTTGGTGTCATTTTGGGGAGGGAGAAAAAGCCTGGGTCCTGTTGTGAGTTTACCATCTCCATTCAGCTCTACTGTGCTGTAAACCCAGGACTTCCTTCCACAGGGAGGCCGGCAAGGGGATTTTCATTGTCTGAGGAGTGAAGAGTAAATGCCCCAGCCAGGCACGGAGGTCCTCCCTCCCACAGTTGTTGTCATCTGGGGACCGTGAGCTCACTATCGCTGTAGGAATCAGACAGCCGTGGACGGCTCGACCAGGGAGCCACATTCTTACCTGTGCAAGAAAGGAGTGTGGCCTGAGACGGCGAGACCGACTCAGAGACAGCGTCCCTCGGTGGAGGGCATGGGGGTGGGAGAGGACACAGCAGGTGCCCAGGGGCTGCTTTCCAGAGAGGCTGGCTTGCCAGGCTCAGACCATGAGGAAGGGGAGCCATTGCGGGCCCTTGAGCCGAGAGTGGTCTGGGCAGAGCATGCGTCCTGGGATGAGTCTGGTGACAGGAGGCAGAGAGCTCAGGGGACAATGGCAGCATGCCCCATGGGGCGTGCAGGCGGAGGCCCACCCATCCCTGCCTGTGCATGGAATGGGGCTTCCCCTCCTGAGGGTATATGATTTTAAGGAAGTCATTGAAAATGCACAGAGAGCTTCAACCCCGGCAGTGTCAGCTGCGGCCGTGAGTACGGTGCTGGGGTGTGCGACTTCCCTCCAGCACGGTCCTTCTCAAGTCGGCTGTGGGCTGTCCCCTCCACAGAACGCTCTTCCTGCGGCCTTGGGGGTATGTTCGCGAGTGTCGTCACTTGGCTGGGGATCGTTTATGTGCGAACGAAAGTGTATTTTGTGTCTGGCTGTCGTCTCCGATGCCTTCCGGAGCCCGCTGGATGCGAGGGGTTCATCTGACTTCCAGGACTGCGGAGAGCGGCTTCTCTGGGGTGGGGGAGTGAGCTCTGTCGTCCACGGAACTCGGCCGGAGTCCGCTCGTGGGGGCATGCACGGCTGAGAAGCAGCATGCCAGGCACAGGGACAGCGATGGACAGCACAGACGCCCCTTCCACTGTGGGGCCCAAGTCTCAGAGGCAGACCCCACGGGACTCGGGCCCCGACTGTGTGAGGATGGGGGTGGGGAGGCCCGGCTGTCCCTCTGACTGGGGGCAAAGGGGGTGCCTTGGCCAAGGCAGGACTTGGGGAGGGGGCGGTCACGGGATGGTCACTGCGGTGGCCCAGGGCATCTAGAGCTAATGCAGGGGAAGGCAGGAGCGGATGTGGGTGTGGAGCTAGGAGAGGGCCTGTGGCGGTCTGCATGCTGCCAAGTGTCCCCAGAGAGGGCAGAGTCCTGTGAGCAGCTGCCCTGGACAGAGGGAGGAGAGGAAGCCAGGCCTCGCGTTCCCCGGCTCTGCGCGCTGTGGGGCATGAAGGGGGAGACCTCTGCCCACCCCAGCTCTGGGAGGGGGTGGGCAGGAGCCCCATGTGACCTCCCCGCGCCCAGCACCATAGTGGGGAGTCTGCTCACGTGTCTTCTCTCTCCCTGCAGGAGATGCGAGCGCCCCATGCACTTCCAGCGCCCTCCAGGAGAAGCAGCGTGAGTTAAGCCCGACCCCCCGGAGGCTTGTCTCCCGCCTGGGTGGGTCCAGCCTCCTTGGGCCTGGGGCCCCTCCCTGCCCTGTGGACTGAGCCTGGGGTCCCGAGTTCCCACGTGTGGGCAGTGCGGGGGCTGGCGGGCCAGGAGGCTAAGCCCGGTACGGCAGATGGGACCCTGCAAAGCCTTGTGTGTCATTTGCCTGTGGTCAGAGAGGACAGGAACGGGGTGCAAAGCCTTGGAGCCTCAGAGACGAGGTCCTTCGGGTGACACAGATGCGGACATGCCATCTGCCTCCCCGACTCCCCAGAGGCTGTGAGTGCAGAGCCCGCCCCTAGACGTCCTGGACCTGCACATCTGTCCGGTGGGCCTTCTCCAGGTTTCCTGCAGGGCCCGCCCCAGGGACGCTTGGCAGGGTGTCCACATTCAACCCTGTGACCTGAAGATGTCCTCTGAGCCGTGTCTGCTGCTGGCGTGGTTGGGTTTCTCAAGAGGTTGGGGTCAGGGAGGGTCAAGATGGCAGTTGGGTCTCCGAACCCCCTTCTTCTCTCTCCTGCTGTTTGGGTCTGTGGTTGCTCCTTCGAGGGTTAAGCCCACGCTGCGCCCTCTCCCGTCCCCCGGGCTGGTCCATCCCTCAGCGGCAGGAAGGTGTCTGCATTCCCACGGCTCAGGACCAGCATGGAAGGGGTCCCCTGCACCTGGGGGCAGCTGTTGGACAAGGCTGTCAGGGGCCAGGGAGGGGCCAGGCTCCTCTGACAGGGGCACCCCAAAGCCTCAAGCTGAGTGCACAGGGCTCAGCATGAGTGGGGTGGCGTCCAGATGAGCTCCCAGAGTTCAGCCTGCAGAGGAGGCTGAGTGAAGACCCAGGGGGACCAGGACCTTCACGTTTCCCAAGAGGAAGGGCCACAAGGAAGCGCCCAGTTCTGTCCTGGAGCAGACAGAGCATGGGGGCGCACAGCCCTGGGGCTGGACGGAGCGATGGGGTGCATGGCCCTGGACTGAGTGCAGGGGTTCACGGCCCCAGGGGGCAGACAGAGCGTAGGGGCGCTCAGCCGAGAGCCCGGGTATGTTTTCCACTGGAAAGGAGGCAGTAGCTTAGGAGCAGCCACTGAGAAACGTGGGGGTGTCTGCATCCATCCTGGGGGCATTTGGGGCGGGGGAGGGTTGGCTTGTGCGTGAAGGAGGGGTTTGGACCACGAGAGCAGGTGTTTGCAGGTGGAAGGCTCGTTCGTCTCTGGGAATTAGCCAGCCCTGCACGGGGCGTCTCCGCCAGCCAGTCTGGGCCCTCAAGATGTCAGACCTCCCATCGCTCGGGGGGGGCAGGGTGTGGCTCCGTCCCCCAGCAAAGGAGGCATGACCTGCCTCAGAGGGAGAGCCGTGGGGCTGACCCCCCGTCCGCCGCTTCTGGACTGGGCCGGAAAAAACATGCGTTTACGTGAAGGCCAAGTCTCTTGAGTTCTGTTTTCAAACTGCGGGTGTAGGTTTCTGTCCGCATTCTGTGCTGAAGGCTGTCCCGCGGGTCTGGGCCTTCAGGATCTTCTCCAGGGACGTGCGGCGATGTGGTTGTGGGGCCGGGGTGGGTCCAGCTCCAGCCCTGGGTCGGCGAGGACCACAGCCTGGAGTGCCTACAGGGAAGGCGGCCGTGGCGGGGTCGCGGCCCCCGCTGGGCCATGCTATCCACGGAGATGGGCGCATCTTGGCTTCAGCGAGATGACAGTGGTCGTCCGTGCTGCTCTCCCAGCTCTGATTCCGAGGGGGCGGAGCGCGAGTCCCCGACGCGGGTGCCGTGCTTTGCCATCTGGGGCCTTCCTCCCTGTGCAGGGTCTTCTCCAGTATTTCCCGTCGCTGTTTGCTCCCGCGCCAGAAGCAGCAGCGGGCCGTGTCCTGACTGCGCTCGGCTCCGTGGGCTCATCACCTGTGGAGCCTGTGTGGCCTGAAAGGGACAAAGAGGGTGGGGGTGTCAGCACCCGCCCCACGTGTGGGGCCTAACCTCACGTCCCCTGCTGGGGCCCGGGAGCCAGAGGAGCAGCTCAGATGCCTGGACCACCACCAAGGGTCCCCTCCAGTGTCTCTACAGCTGCCCCCCACCCCCGGCCCACCATGCCTGGAGACCCTGCCTGCAGCTGTGCCCCAGCCCCACCATGCCTGGAGCTCCCTGCCCGCAACCCCCCTCCCCCGCCTCGCCATGCCTGGAGCCCCCTGCCCGCAGACCACCCCCCTGCCCCACCGTGCCCAGAGCCCCCTGCCCACAGTCCCCGGCCCCGCCGTGCCTGGAGCCCCCTGCCCGCAGCTCTGCTGGTAACTGGTGTCTTTTCCTGGCTGGTGTGGGCAGCGTGCTGAGCACAGCTGCAGACGGGCTATATTTAGCTGCTTTAATGAGCTCGGGGTGGCAGACGGCGGCCTGAGGAGCTTTCCTCTTGCGTGTGTGCCGCACGATACTCATGTGCGTATTGGCGTGCGAGTGCGCCCGTGCGTTCCTCCACACGAGGACACACGTGTGTCTGCACACGTCTGTGTAGCGTCTGTGCTTTGCTAGGACGTCCTCAGCTTCCAACGCTGACGGGGCTCCAAAGCGGGAACAAAATATTTGTCCGCTCACTTGTTTGAAAAACATTTCCCGAGCACCTCGTTGGTGCCAGCCCCCAGACCGTCTGTGTGGGGGAAACGGAGCATAAACAAACCCTGTCCCGGCCTTGAAGGCCCTCCCGGCTGGGGAGGGAGGAGATACCGGATCAAGTAACCAGAAAACCTGAAGTGCGGGGGACTAGTTTCCGAAGAGAGAGCCCGGTGTTTCTGGGAGGAGGACGGCAAGGACGGACGCCCCCGGGGGGGAAGGACCACAGAGGCTTTGAGGAAATATTTGGACACAGCCGCGTGAAGAAGACGCAGGGCTTGGGGAACAGAATGTGCAAAGCCCCTGTGATGAGAGGAAGAAGGTTTGAAAACCATTGTATGGCCCAGTGCTTGAGGTCAGAGGGGAGATGTGCAGAGGGGAGGCTGGTGTGGGACCGTGGCACTGGGATTTTATGGGGCCCGTGACTTGGTCAGGGCTCCAGTGGAGAAGGACGGCTGCGTGGACGTGGAGCTGGAGCAGGAACCCGTGAAAGGACTGCATTCGCAGGTTCAGAGAAACCTGGGGGCATGGGACCAGGCAGGTGCCCACATGTGGGAACCCCAGCCCGGTGGTCCCATCTCTCCCTCTGTGCAGCCCCTGGCCAGCGGTCCAGGGCCCCCAGAGCTCCGCCAGCCCTGAGGACACCCCTCACTGGTCTCAGCCTGGGGTGAGAATCTCTCTTCAGCCGGAGAGAATCTGTTTCCTCAAATCCTTTTCTCCCGGGAACAAAAGAGCTTCTGGAAACAAAACCGGGAAGCACTGCCACAGTCCTCCCCGGAGGCCGAAAACCCAAGCAGGGAGAACGTAGAAACCAGCATCTCCCAGAAGAAGTCCGCCCACTCCACGGGGTTGAGAAAATTCCCACTTTTAATCTGACATCCGAGTGGGCAGTGCCGGCTGATGGTCTGAACTCTGGAAGGACACAGGTGAGGTGTGCTGCTAGCCGCGGCGGCGACTGGCCACGTTCCCTGCACACGATTGTCTCCATAAATATGCACAGATGGGAGCCCGCCGCGTGCTCGTCCTGTCCCTGCTCCTCGCGGGTGAGCACGTAGTGGGATTATCATTGCCCCCGTGCGTTTGGGGGTGTGCCGGCCGCAGGAAGGGGTCCTGTCTCCCTGTGGCGTCGCCCGTTTCACCGGCTTCCCCCGTGCGTGGCACAGGTTGCTGTCTTTGTAGCGTGACCCCGCGGCCATGGCTAGCATCCTGTGCGCTCCTGTCTGTGCGAGGCTCAGTCCCAGGGCGGGGTGGGGGACGCTCAGTGTCTCCGGGGATGTGGCCAAACTGCCTCTGCAGACACCAGCCGTGGACGGGGAGGGGCTGCCTCCCCACACCCTGGGCCACGCGGCAGTGCTGATCTGGGAGAGAGGGGAGAGGAGGCCTTCTGGAGTGATCTCCGTGGCCGTCCCTCCGGTGGGTACCTGCGCACAGGAGCTGTGGCCCGTCCTTTCTCTGGAAGCAGCAGGGGTTAGTGTGTGGGCGTGCGCGGGTGGGCGCGCTGCTGTTTCCCTGCATCTCTGTGCCCGCTCCCCAGTAGGGCCCAGCAGGCTCAGTGGCGGTTGCTCCCCCTTCCCTCCCCCAGGCTCACTCCATGGGGTGGCGGTCAGGCCTCCGTGTGGGCCAGCGCCTCTGGGGGAGGCTGACCGGCCCACCGGGGTGAGCCTCCTTAGCAGATGAACCCAGGCTGACGGGGCTGGGCCACGACCTTGAAGGGCCAAGGCTGTCACAGCAGGGAACTCGGGTTCATCTAGCCCACCATGCCTGGGGTGCCTGCCCAGCGTCCACCCACCCAGCGTCCACTCACAGCACTTGCTCCTACAGTCCCTCCTCCTGGCCAGCACAGGTCCCTCCAGGACGGCCATGAACCCTCCAGAAACCACCCCCCTCAGTGGCCGGGCTCTGCCGTCCCTCCGTGACCCACATGCAGACCCTGAGCATTCGCAGGCCACCATGTCCCCTCGAGCCTGCTCTTCCCAGGCAGGGGCCCCTGTCCTGCAGCTTTCCTCCCTGGTTCCTGGGCTCCACCTGAGCCCCCGGATTGGCCTGAGCTTCGGGAACGCACAGTCCTCGCTCTGCCCTGAAGGCGCTGGAACTCGCAGCTGCAAGGCCTTGTGGGCGCCCCCGCCCAGCCAAGGCCCGTGTCACATGACCCCAGGGCCCTTGAGGTCCTCGGGCTCCCGGGTGCATGTGTGGGCCCCAGCCAGGGGAGCAGGAGGCTGCCGTGATGTCCAGCTGGTTTTGGGACTCAAATGCAGGGTTTTGATTCACAGGCCGTGTTTCATGGTCAACGTCAGCCCCGCAAGGCCTTCCTTCCCCTTTGCACGCCCTCGGGGTCCCTTGCCAGCCCGCCAGCTCCCGAGGGCCGGCCGGTCGCTCTGCTGCGTGTGTGGTGTGTGTGTGCGGTTGGGCAGGGCTGGCAGCTGGTTCACGGTCCTTGTTGTAAGGGACACACGCTCGCGCTTGCAATAGTTGTACACTAAAGGAAGTCCGGGCTCACAGGAGGAAAATGAGAAAATCACCCGGTGTCCCCCCTATCCAAGCAAAACCACGCTGACAGGGATGCAGCCGGGGGCCTCCATCCCTCGTGGTCCCCGCGGCTGGTGGCAGGAGAGAGGGACACGGACCCCTCCACTGAGCCGGGAGACGCTCTGCTGAGTGCTGAGCGCGTGGGCGCTGACCTTGGCTTCTGTCTCAGGAGTACTGTGGAACTTGGGTAATTAGAAGGGTGATGACAATTTGGGCCTCTCCAAGGTTGTGAGTAAGCAAATATAGCCTCCCCCTCCAGCTGGCAGCTGGAGCCACGGGGGAGCTGGGTAGGCCAGCAGGGGTGCTGGGCGTGGGCGCTGAGGTCACAAGACACGGTCACAGAAACAGCCGTGGGCTCTCCCCACCCTGGGCCTGGGCATCACAGGGACCCTGCCTGAATAGGGTCCCCCGGCGGAAGCAAAGCCTCAGGGAGAACCACGCAGCCCTCCCATGAGGTCCTGGGCTCCCCGCCTCCCGGGACCCCAGAGGCTCTGGGGAAGCCTGTGAAGGGGGAGGACCCATGAGGCCCAGGCTGAGAACTTGCCATGCTTCCCTGACACCAGCGCCCCCAGGGGCCTTCCAGGAGATGTGCGTCCCAGTAGACGCTGCTTCCCTAGACGGGACTTCTCCCGGGGCTGACGAGCACGGAGAGGTCTCCCAGGCTGCACGCCCCCCGGGGTCTTTGCAGTGAACTTTCACAAAAACCTGGCTGCCAATGCTCCCTGCTCTCGGGGACCCCCAGTCTGATGCGGAAACGGTCGACTAACCTCACGGCAATGAGCCAGGCCAGCTGAGCACAGCGTGAGATGACCGTCTCTGCCTAAGTAGACCTGAGACGGCTTTCCAGAGGCTGGGATGGTTGAGCAGGGTTTTGTGGTATAGGTAGGAGTTCGCTGGTGTGCCCGGGGAGGAAGGCAGAGAGCTCAGCCTGAGCGAGGCGGGGAGGAGCGAAGCTGCCGGGTCTGGTGGCCGGAACCGGTGTCCTCAGTTACTCTGCAGGGACTGTCTGCTTCTCAGAGAGCAGAAGGCTTGTGGGCCAGGCACAGGCTGGGGGGGGCTCGAGGCTGCCTTTCTGCGTGTCTGCAGAGGCCTCTGCTGAGGCTGGAGACGCATGTCCCCAGGGGGCCCCTCCAGGCCTGATAGCCGGCCGGATCTAGATCTGCAGGCCAGGCCTCCCCTCCTCCCTCCCCCAGAGCCAAAGCTCTCTGGCTTTTGCACACTGAAAGGAAGCCAGACTCTTGCCATTGGTGGGGGAAGGCGCGGGGTGCCCAGGGTCCTGCCAGGCCCGTCCCCGCCGAGCCCTGAGCTGCCTCAGTGTCATCCGTGGCCAGGATGCGGCGTCAGCTCACTGCCGGAGCGTGGCGTGGGGCCAAGGCGGCTGGCCGCGGGCCGACAGAGGATGTGGGAGCCTGGGGACTGTGGGCTCAGCGAGAGCGCAGGAGCCAGCCCCGCTCGCGGAGGGCATGGTGCCCGGGAGACGGTGGGACCCTCGTGTCTTCCCTGCGGCTTATTTATAGGCTCGTGATGGTAATTCGTAGCAGCCACCATGCGGGAGCCTGTAGCCGCACTGGAGTCCGGCAGCCGGCCCAGCAAGGGTGCGGGGGGCCATCAGGGCTCTGGTGGGTTTGGTGTCAGGGCTGTGCGTGCTGAGGCAGCCACGGCCCTGCCGGCCTCTGGCCCCGGCTCGGGGACCCCTGAGCCTCCCTGGCATGTCCTCCAAATGCACGACTGACATGGACAGAGACTTAGCATGTGGCCAGCCCCACTCTGAGCCCCGTGCATGTCTGAGCTCCTCTGTGCTGGGCTCCTGCTCCGGGACCCCGCCGTCCCCATGCCCCAGAAGAGAAAACCGAGTCCCGCTCTCAAGCCACTGAGAGCAAGAGTTGGACTCGGGCACTGGCTACAAACCAGGTCCCACCCAGCCTCGGAAGTTGTGGTCTCTGGGCCACTGCCAGCCCCACGGCCACACACACCACGGAACTGGCCGCTTTGCTGTGGGGAGGAGGTCCGTGCTGGGCAGCCTGCTGCTTTGTGGTTTGCACGAGCGTCTCCTCTCCTGTGGACAGACAGTGTGGTGTCATCTTCCTGGGGAGGACAGAGCACCACCAGGCATCGTCCTCCGTCGGGTGTGGGGCTTGTGTACAGGCTCGCATGGCCTGATTCATGGTGAGGCTGGGGGCACGTGACCCAGGAGGGGTGAGCCTCGGTTCTCTTGTCTGAAAAGGGGGCTCACACCCAGAGAACCAAAGCTCAGGGCCGTCGTGGGGAGGAGGGAACAGCGCGCGCGGGGACATAGTAAGTGCTTGGCCAAGACCAGGCCAGCAACCCGGCTGTTGTACTGGGAGCCTGTCCTGGGGTCGGGGCCGGGGGTCCATGGGCCATTACGGGGACGGTCACGTGGCTGGAAGGAGCTGGAGGAAGCGCAGGCCGAGCCTCCCTCACCGCCCCCTCCGGGCCAGCCCCTCTGTCATCGAGAAACCCGCTCCCGCCCGTCTGGGCAGCAGCCCCCAGCTCGTAAAGCAGCTACCCTGAGACCAGGCGCGTGTCCATAAGGACTGAGGAGTTCAGAAACGCACTTGCCTGCCAAGAAGGGCTTCTTATTGGGTGCACTTGGCGGAGCACCGTGGGGCCGCTGGGAGACCCGACTCTGACCCGGGGTCCGGCTCCCCCCTCCCCTGCCACGGGCTTGCCCGCAGAGCCCCTGGAGGGTCCTTCCCTCGTGGCTCCTCGCAGGTGTGGCAGGCTCGGGGTAGGGGTGAGTTCCCCGTCACTGAAGGCACATGAGGAGTTTATCATCTAGCCGTGTGGTGTGGCCACACAGAGAAAGTGGAATCCTTCCCACGGGGAGAATGGAGAGGAAGCAAGGCCTGCGCGTCAGGCAGCGGGCAGCGAGGGGGCAGCTGAACGTCTGGCGGCGTCTCCCTCCACCCCAGACTCCGGTGCAGCGACGTATGGGAATGCAGGGTTCAGACCGCACAGACTTCTCTGTCAGGGCCCGAGGGCAAATATTCCAGGCCTCGTGGGCTCGAAAGACTCGCTGAGGCCCCTATGTGAATGGCCACGGACTCCAGCTGTGCCCCTATAAAACTTTATTTACAAGAGCAGGTGGTGGGCCCGATTTGGTCCGTGGCGGCGGCTTGCGGGTCCCAGCGGTAGGGGATGCAGGCTCCGCTAGAGGCCCCAGAGGAAGAGTGGCGGCTGCGGGAGGTGAGGACGCCCCGGAGCTCCCCAGACCCAGAGGCCACCCCGCCTCTCTGGGGCTCTGCCTGCCCCGGCCCCTGCTCCCCTAATTCACAGCCTTGCGGTTGGTCTGACAGCTTCAAGCAGACGCTCAAAAAAACACTCTGAGCAGGGCTCCAGTTTTCAGAGGCGTGTTTGGCCCACATTTGCGTCCCAAGCTGGAAGCAGGAGCCCCCAGAGGACGCTTGTGCCGTTGCGACTGTCGTGCTTCCTGGGACCGCCTTCCCCAGCCCCAGGGACCAGCGTGTGGTGGCTGCCCCTGCCAGCCTCCCTTGCCTGGGGAGGACGGAAGTTTCTGGTCCTGTTGATCTGGACACTGTCCCTCCAGCGAGACCCCAGGGAACGTTGCGGCCCCGGCATCGGGAGGCCCGCGGGCGCTGAGTCCTCCATTCCCCCACAGGAGAGCTGTATCGGGTCTCCCTGAGAAGACAGAGGTTCCCAGCCCAGGGAAGCATCGAGATCCACGAAGACAATGAGGTGGGCTGGCTTCTGGGGTGTCTGTGCCGCCGCCGGTCAGGAGTCCTGGCTGGGAGACTTCCTCACCCTAGGACTTGCTGTGCGCCCCTGGGCAGGTGCTTGTCCTGCTCTGGGCTGCTGGCTCCCATGGGAACAAGAAAGGTCTCAAGGGACCCTCCCCGCCCTGATAACAGGGGCTTGGCCAGCCTGCTGCCCCTGTGCCACCCTCAGAATGCCCAGGAGGTCCCACCACTCGGGGAGCTGAGACAGGCCAGCCACAGCTGTGTGTGCGATGGCGCGTCCCTGCCTCCTGTCTATCCCCACCCGTGTCCTTCTCAGGAAGGCTGCCCACAGCGCTCCTGCAAGACGCACGTCCTCCTGCTGGTGCTGCACGGAGGGAGCATCCTGGACACGGGCGTGGGGGACCCATCCTGCAAGGCGGCCGACATCCACACCTTCGGGTCGGTGCTAGAGAAGGTCACGCGAGCCCACTTCCCAGCGGCCCTGGGCCACATCCTCATCAAGTTCGTGCCCTGCCCTGCTGTCTGCTCTGACGCCTTCTCCCTCGTCTCTAAGTGAGTCTACGTCCTTCCTGCCCTTTCGGAGAGGTGGGGGGGTTGGTGGGGATGACATGGAGGGGCCCTGGGGGCATCAGGTCCTGAGCAACCACGGGCACAGGGCTGAGAAGTGGTCAGTGGGAGTCCAGAGCCCTGCACAGCCGTGCAGCACAAGCTCCTCTGCCTGACCCCCTCGATGCTGCAGACCTGCTCCTGGGGCTCGCTAGACGCCGGTCTCCTGGCCCAGGGGAGGACGCCGAGGCCCCAAGAGGCGAAGCCAGTTCCCCTGGGGGTACCCGGCCCCTGGAGCTGGGAGTCAAACCTGGGCAGCCTTGCTTTTGAGCCACATAGTCAGAGCCCAGTGGGCAGGCGCCGGGCCCCACGGACGCCCGGGGAGGACCCAGGGGATGGCCCTGTCCCAGTGTCCTCATTTGTATGATGTGGACAATCGTGCCCCAAGTTCCTGCAGGAGACCGTGAGGGTCCCGCATGCTGGTGCAGCAGGCAGAGCAAGGGGTCAGCTGTGACCTAGCTTTGTCCTTGGGGGGGACAGTGCATCCCATGGACTGGGCCAGGTGGGGGACGCTGCAGAGACCCCGGCTGGAGGGGGTGAGGCAGTGCATTTGCTGGGCCTGGGGTCTTCGTCCGGACCTGCCCCTGGTCCCTGGGGGGGAGAGCAGGGTGTGCGGGGCCCACTGTTCCCTCTGAGACACGGGAAAGTCTCCTCTGCCTTCAGGACCCGAGCAACCTCCTTGCTGACCCACCTGTGGTCACGGGACACACAGGGCAGGTCTCCGTTCAAGCTGGAAGGAGGGACGGCTTGAGTCAGTAGTTCCCTGACCGGACATGATTCTTGCCAAATGCAGGGCCCCGGGGCTCAGCCCTGGGGCCCCCGTTGTCGGGAGGGGAGGAGCCCTGGACTCTGCCTGTGGCACAGCTGCCCTGGGCACCTGCTCTGCAGTGGGACTTGGGAAACAGGCTCTTCCCCGCTCTAGCCCTCAGGAGCTACCGTGTCCCCTGTAATCGATCTCGGGACCCCGGGCCCTCGCCCGCCAGACGGCTGACCTCCAGAACTGGGTCAGCCAGCCCTGGCCTGATCACCAGGAAGATGGATGGCCCGACAGCTCGAGGGGAGGGTGGGGACAGCCTCGCTCCCCAGGCGGCTCCTCACCGGGCCGTCCATCACACCAGGCACTGCCGGGAAGGAGCTCTTACTCGGCTAATTAAAATCTCTCGGGGAGCAATTGAGGCCTGTTTCCTCTAATTTGTGTTCTTTGGAGATGAGGAATGGCCGTGAGGCCAGCCTTGCCCTCCACGAGGGCTCTGCCACCTGCTCAGGAAACCCTGAGCCCGGTCGCCTGTCCTGCTTCCTGTGCGGTCCCCAGTGGGTTCGTCAGCCTGAGCTCAGGCCGTGGGCAGAGGGCTGGTCCTCTGCCCAGTGAGGCCTGACATGCCAGGGGACAGAGGTTGGCCGGGTGGGGGTGTGGGCTGGGGCAGGAGCTGGGATCTGGTCCCAGAGGGGTCTGAGCCATGCACAGATGGAGGGACTCGCTGGAGGGGAAGCAGGGAAACGAAAGTGCCGGACTGTCCACTGGCTGTGGAGATGCTGTAGGGCAGGGTTTCTTAGTCCTTTCTGGGATCCCGCCTTTCACAAGGGCCACAAAGGCTGTGACCCTCTCCCGAGAAGGATGGACACAGGTCACGTGTGCAGCTGTGTGCCCATCTCCAAGCAGTGGCTGACACGGGACCCCACGCCTAGAAGACTCTCCTTTCTCCTTCCTAGCATCCCTGAACCCTTCCTTGAGACCTAGTCCAAAGTCCGCCTCCTCTAGGAAGTCTGCTCTAATGATATGTACCCCCTCCTCAGTCCATACCAGGTGGCTTCCCCACAGTGGGGGTGTCCCTTGGGGCTCAGTAGAAGAGGGCAGGGGAAGGCAGCTGTCCCAGGAGACCCCAGGCCCACATCCCAGGCTGGCGCGGGCGGAGTCAGGACAGCACACAGGGGAGTCAGCGCAGTCTGCCCCCAAGTCCCCTGCCTGTGCCCTGTTTCCTCTGGCTCTCACTCAGCCCCTCCCCTAGAGCCCCAAGCAGGGGCCTAACCATGGCCGGCTCGTGCCTGTGCTCCCTTCTGCCCAGTGTGCAGCCCCACACCGGCCCCTGCCTGAGACTGGCTGGGCTTCCCTTGACCCTGTCTGCAGCCTGAACCCCTACAGCCACGATGACGGCGGCCTCGGCAACAGCCAGGACCACGTCCCTCTGGCTGCCCTGCCCCTGCTGGCCATCTCCTCCCCGCGCTACCAGGACGCGGTGGCGACTGTCATTGAGCGGGCCAACCAGGTCTACGCGGAGTTCCTCAAGTCTCCGGATGGGATTGGCTTCAGTGGGCAGGTAGGACGACCTCCCCGACCTGCCCTGCCCTAGCCCGACCCAGGCCTGAGTCTGACCCCTGCAGCACCCTGGCCTGAGCTGTCCTCAGGCCAACCGTGACTGCAGCCTGAGCATCTGTCCCCCGGTGGGCTCTGTCATGTCTCACCGAGACAGGCTCTCTCCTCTCCTGTGGACAGGCGCCCGGTGCTCTGGCTGGGTAGGGAGTGCAGGGTCAGCAGTGGGCAGGCCTTGGTCCCAGCTGTGTCTTCTCCAGGTGTGTCTCATCGGGGACTGTGTGGGGGGCCTCCTGGCCTTCGACGCCATCTGCTACAGCGCAGGGCCCTCGGGGGACAGCCCGGGCAGCAGCAGCCGGAAGGGGAGCATCAGCAGCACACAGGTGCGGGCCGGACGGTGGGGACAGGGTGGGGGGACAGGCCGGGGCTCTGGCCCTGGGAGGGGCCTCTACTGGGGGAGGTGATGTCGGCCCTGCGCACGTATCCGAGGTGACTCGCCTGGGTGGCGTGGCTTCGCGGCCCTACGGGACTGGGGCTCGGCGCAGGCTGGGTCTATAGTCCCAGGGGTCGCCCGCGCCTGACACCCACCCGTTGCTGCCGGCTGGCTCCCGCGGGAGCGCGCCCCCAGCACATCTCAGGACAGAGGGCTTGGCGTCTCCGGTGGCGTCTCCGGTGGCAGCAGTGTCCTTCTGTCCTCTGCGTGGCCCCAAAGGACAGCCCAGTCGTGGTGAGCGAGGCGTGCGGTCTGGCTGGCAGCAAGCGCCTCAGCAGGAGCAGCATCGACGTGTCCAGCGCGCCCGAGGACGAGGGGCCCCAGAGGCCGTTGCCACGGAAACAGAGCGACTCATCCACCTACGACTGTGAGGCCGTCGCCCAGCATCACACCTTCCTGTCGAGGTGAGCGCCCCTTCTCGCTCCGTGTCCGCTGCAGAGGGGACCCGGCCTCGGAGGTGGCCTGTGCCCTGTCCCTGCTCCGCTCCGGACCAGCAGGGACCCGGGACAGCACGGCCCCCTCCCCGGGCCTCGCTGCCCCCTGCCTCGCCGACGGTTCTGAGGACGTGGTCCGAGAGCAGATGGGGTGTATTTCGGGAGCCGCTCCAGGAGTGTGCTCTCCGTATTCCCCCGAGGGCCACAGAGGCCCCCACGGGGGAGTTCCCAGGGTCACACGGCCCGCATCTTGGCCCCCAGGCCCCAGGGCGCTGCCTCCTGCCCAGAGCTCCGTGAGTCGCCTGCGCCTGCACTCAGGACATAGACCGGTGCTGACCCACGCGGGGAGGGGCGCCCCGGCCTCTGTTCCCTCTGCTTCCTGCCCCCTTTCTTACCGTGACCGGTCTGGCGAGGTCATCACAGACTCTGCAAAGCAGACCTGCTCTGGGCGTGTCCGAGGCCCTCCTTTCTGCGTGGACCGTTCACGTGCTTCCCATACCGGTTTACTTGGACAAAACCCCTTGTCTCGCGACCGTTCCTGGCTTTCCCCGCATGATAAGTAGTCAGAGGGTTCTCCACGGGGAGTATTTTATCAGTGAGGATGCTTCACCTCATCGCAGGACTCGAATCCAGGGCTTCTCCCAGTTCTTGGGACTTGCAGGCAGAGCCCCGGTGACCCTCCCTGTGCGAAGATGGTCCCGTGGGTCAGGGCTGTGTCCCAGGCGCCCTCCCGGAGGGGACTCGGCTGGAGCAAAGGCTCCGCGTCGCCGAGGCTCAGACTGTAACGCAGCTCATGTCCAGGTTGTGAGGTGAAACATGACCTTCCCGGTTCACCCCTTTAGGAGGGCCCGGATCTGGAGAGTGGGAAGCGGTCGGTGGCTTTGCTCTGTGCCGTGGGGACGGATGGATGGCCGTCTCTCGGGCAGTGACGTAGCTGGTGTATGGTAGGGACCGTCTGGTTCCCCTACATGGACCGCCCAGCCCCAGCGCCGTCCTCACCATGAGAGGCTCGCGGTGCACAGAGGGGAGCCCCGGCCTTCAGATCCAGCTCCCGGACGCTCGCTCGCAGAGGGCAGGCCGCTCACCGGCACTGGTCCCGTTGTGACCTCCAAAATCCCCTCGGACGTCCACCTCAAGGGTTCTGGCTGAATCTGCGTGCCATTAACCAATGCCTAGATCGGGGGCCCCTGGGTGGTCTTAAACTCTGAGCTGCGCTTCCAGCCCAGCTGGCGGGTCAGGAGGCCCCCGGCTCTACGGTCCGTCCGTCCCAGTGGTGCACTCCCGTGCCCAACAGGGTGTCGGCCTGGGCTCCAAGGGGCAGCGGTGCCTGGGGTGGGACTGGTTGGGATTTGTGGGGTTTTCTCCGCCTCCTTTCCCCGCAGGCTGCAGGGGAGGGAGGTGACAGCTGGCTGCACCTGGTCTGCCGGCTGTAAAGTGGGGCTAACGCCCCCTGGGGCCGTGTGTGCCGGCCAGGCCTCCCCACAGAGCCGGCACCATGGGGCGGCACTGCCCACGTGCGGGGTGCTTGGGACTCCGAGGTTCTTGGCCCCGCTGGGGAAATACAGTGCTGTCAGAGGGTGGCCGTGTGCGTTTGTCTGAGAGTCGCTTCTGGCTGCCCGCCGGCCCCGGCACCGGAGCCCCCTAGGTGGAGGGCTGATGGCCCCCAAAGCCTCCCACCTGGCCCTCAGAGGACACGCGGGCGGGCCGTGGCAGCCGGTACGGAGCCAGTGCAGACACGGAAGGCCGGGCTCTTCCCGCTCAGCCCGCACGCAGTCCCTAATGGCCCTCCTGGCTCTCTCCCTCCCCGGGACAGCATCCACTCCAGCGTGCTGAAGGACGAGGCCGAGCCCCCCCGCGCCCAGGGCGTCCCAGCCACCTGAGGTCAGCCTGGGCCGCCTGGACTTCGACGTGTCCGACTTCTTCCTCTTCGGTTCGCCCCTGGGCCTGGTCCTGGCCATGCGGAGGACGGTGCTGCCCGGGCTGGACGGTGGGTGGCCTGGGCTGTGGCCCGAGGGGCTTTGTGTGTCTGCAGCAGCCATCAGGTCCTCCATCTGGGGTAGAGGGTGGGGCACAGGGAGAGCGGGGGGATGGAGTTGGGGGAGACGGCCGTGTCCCCTGATGGGGCAAAGGCGCAGGGGGCTCTCACACCCCTGTTCAGAGACGCCATGTCTGCTCCCCGCTGCCCTCCTTCCCCGGCGTGCAGGCTCACAGGCCTGCGGCAGCTGGTCAGCACACCCGGGGCCCCCAGCTTGGGACAGCTGCCCCCCCACACTGGCCTACAGCACACGACCTGCTCCAACCAGTGCTGTCACAGGGGCTCGGGGAGTCCCAGAGGCTAGGGCACCTCAAGGGTCCACACTCCGGGACTTCCCAAACTCCTTTTACAGCAGCGCTCCCCCGACGTGCACCCAATGGGACAGAAGAGAAGGGGGGAGGCCTGCTCAGAGCGGGCTGGGGGTGAGGCAGAATCCCGTGGGCGCCCTCGGCGTTGCCAAGGAAACCTAGGGCTCCTGGACACTGGAGCGGCCAGTCCTCTGAGCCTGGCGGACGGGGAGCCTCAGTGGAGACGCCTGCTGGTCTGCGGGAGGAGTGTTCTGCCGCTCTGGCCACTGGAGCCTGGGGGCTGGGCCGCTGGGGAGGGGGCCGCTGACCACAGTGAGGGACCCCGTCTGCCCTGCAGCCAGGAAGCGGCTACGTGAGAGCGGGATGGGTTCGCCGGAGTCTGACCAGGAGAGAGCCGGCGGGGGGGGCGGGCAGGGGGGCTGCCTGAGCAAGGACACTGGGAGAGAGGGACGCCACAGGGGAGCCGCTGCGCTGGGCGCCTGCTGCCGCTCCTGGGGGGCGGGGGGCAGATCGGCCTTGAGCGCCGGACTCAGAGTGGCGGCTGTGCTCCTGTGGGTCGTCGGGGCCATGGCAGGTTCCCGAGCAGGAGTGGGCGACTGGAAACTGCACTCGGGGGGCGGGAACTAGAAGGGCCCCGTGCGCCCTCTCACCTGCAGGCCTCCACGTGCGCCCTGCCTGTGGCCAGGTGTACAGCTTCTTCCACTGTGCCGACCCCTCGGCCTCACGGCTGGAGCCCCTGCTGGAGCCCAAGTTCCACCTGGTGCCGCCGGTCAGCGTGCCCCGCTACCAGAGGTTCCCGCTGGGCGACGGACAGTCCCTCCTCCTGGGTAGGCTCGCGGGGTGTGCGAGCGTGCCGGGCCCCGGGCTGGCCCCACCAGCTTGCCGAAGGGGGACCAGCCCCTGCAGAGCAGGTCTGCAGGCTCTAGACAGACAGGCGGTGGGGGAAGCAGCCGCCTCGCCTGCCTTCCCAGCCCCCGGAGGTGTGCACCTGCTCTGCGGGAGGAGACAGGGGGCTCAGGCCCTGCACGCCGATGGCTTCCCGCAGCTGGCGCCAGCATACGGCCCGAGCTGCCGGCCCGGACTGCAAGTCCAGGGGTCCACGCTGGGTGCTGACGCTGGAGGAGCAGGTCCGGGAGTGTCCCAGCCTGGTGGGCATCACGCAACAGGGGGCCTTGGACCATGGCACTGGGACAGGTGGGGACGAGCTGTAGGATGGGGATCCAGAGGAACTTTGCAGGGGGAGCAGGGACACGGCGGCTGGGGGAGGGCCAGTGACCTCTGGGGCTCGAGTGGGGTGAGCCAGTCAGGGGCAGGGAGGCCTGGGTTGGGCGGCGGCCCAGGTGAGGAAGTCTGGCTGGAGCCTGTTCTGAGCTCTGGACCAGGTCGGGGGGAGCTGCTGGGCCTGCAGTTGGTTCAGGCTTAAAAACCAGTCCCAGCCCTGATCTGTAACAGAAACTTAATTTCCAAAAGTCCTCGCAGTCAGGAGCTCCCACTGACAGAAGTGGGTCCGCACCAGCCCCCGTGAACCTTCGAGTGTGTGTTCCTGCCCCGGGCTGGAGAGCCATGCGGGCCCACGCGGTCCAGGGAGGCATTTGTATGAGAGAGCACGTGGTTCCGGGTCACCTGTGACCTCAGCCCGTGCTCCACAGCTTGTGCCTGCACGACCTGCGCCTTAGAAGAGGTCGGGGGTGCAGAAGGCCCATCGGGGGCCCCAAGGGGTGGGTGGTACGGGCTGGGGGACACAGGACCACGCCCCGACTCTGATGTTACCCCCGCAGCGGATGCCCTGCGTGCCCACAGCCCCCTCTTCCTGGAAGGCAGCTCACGGGACAGCCCGCCGCTTCCGGATGCCCCCTCCTCGTCTCCCCAGGGCCTGCGGGCCCAGCAGCCGGAACGGAGGACGAGCCAGGACAGCTCCCATAGTGAGAGCTCGGCGTCCTCGGACAGCCTGGCACCAGTGGGTGCCTCCCACGGTGAGTGAAGGTCCTCAGGGCCCCGCCTGGTCAGAAGTCGAGGGGGCCTCCCCAGGGCAGCTGTAGAGGGCAGGTCAGGAGCCGCAGAGGAAGTCCAGACTGAGCCCTGAGCTCTGGGCCTGGACAGGGCCCTGTGGACCGAGCCCTGGCCTAGACTGACCTCAACCCCAGCCCGAGTCCTCTCCCCGGCGTTCCGTCTCCACACTGGGCGTCCCTGCATCCCGGGATGAGAGCGGACGTCTCTGCGGGGCCGGCGCCCACCGCCAGGGACCCATGTGCAGCCCCCGCCCTGGGGGCAGGTGGGCGAGGGGCTGCAGGAGGCTGGGGGCTCAGTGCTTTGGGCCCACACAGCCCTGTGGGTCAGTCGGGACCCAAACAGGCCACTCTGTCCTGACCCCACTGTCGGGCCCACAGTCACAGCCAGGTGGTGGGGCGCCAGGCGCATCGACTACGCCCTGTACTGCCCCGACGTCCTGACAGCCTTCCCCACGGTGGCCCTGCCACACCTCTTCCACGCCAGCTACTGGGAGTCCACGGACGTGGTGGCCTTCATCCTGAGACAGGTGCGGCGCCCCTTCCCGGAGGGCCCATCCTGGCGCATGGGGGAGGGCTACCTTGCTGGCCACCCTGGGCTCCGGAGCTGTCAGCCAGGCCCGGGTCATGCGGTCAGGCAGTGGGTCGCGGGACGAGCACGGGCTTCAGGTCGGTGCTTTCTAGAAAACGCAGGAGAGAGTACCTGGGAGGACGTCCCTGTCTTCTGACACGGAGATGAGTGGTCAATGGCTGCTCCTCCAAGGGCCTCGGTGTCCTTAGAGAGGCTGGGAGCCGGGGGCGCCCGTGTCCACGAGAAGCCACGGCTGGGCTTGGGCAAGGGAGGGCGACCCGCCGACGGGACTTGTCAGGGGGAACCCGTGTCTGCTGCTTGGTGGGCCAGGGAGCTGGAGCCCCGCTGTGAGGCCAGCCTGGGAGCCCAACTGGGGGACGGCAGCCGGGGGCTGGCGTGCGGTGCCAGGGGCCGCTGGCTGTGACGGAGGGGAGCACCGGGGGGTGGCTTCTAGGTTTGGGGAGGAGCAGGGCCAGGCTGGGATGCGGGAAGCCAAGTCTGAGGTCTGGACCTGGAGGAGGGGGTGCCGGCCAGGGACTGGGGTCTGGAGCTCGGGGCAGACGTGGATGACACGTAAGCCAGTGATGGCACGGCCCCCCAATTCCCGCATGTGCACTGCCCCACACCCGGCAGCTCTCCCCCTCCAGCGGGGTGTCTGCCAAAGCAGCCCAGCTCTGAGCGCACCTACCTGGGGGCCCCGTCCGATCCCACAGGCTGGGGGTTTGGCCCCCCCAGGCTGCCAGCCTTCACAGGAACGAACCCCAAGTGCAGGCTGTCGCCAGGGCTGGACAAGATCATCCGGCAAGCCTGCCTCGGGTTCGATCAGGTCACAAGAGCGGCTCCCAGACCCCAGAGAAACCCTTTACTCATGGGATTGTCAGAGTGCCGGGCACGACTCGGGAACAGTGGGTGGAAGAGGGGCTCAGGGCGACGTGCGGGACAGGGCAGAGCCACCGTGCCCCACCCAGCACCACTGTCCCCAAATCTCCATGCGTCCACGACCCAGAAGCTCTGCAAACCACCTCCTTCTGGGTTTCCGTGGACACCTCCCTCCCCAGCAGGACTGGTCAAGTCAGTGGCTGCTGCTGACTGATTCGACCTCCAGCCCCAGCCGTAGGGGTGGGACTGGGGTTCTCCCGGCCACCGGCTCCCCCCTAAGTGGGGCCCAAATGCCCCTCACTAACAAACAAAGGACAGTCTCTCAGCATTCAGGAGATGGCAAGGATTTAGGAGATCTGTGTGGAATCGGACAAAGGCCAGATCTGTGGTCACGTGCCCCGGATACAAAGGGAGTCCCCTGGGGAGGGAGCCTGGGGTCTGGAGGACAGAGGATGGAGGACGGTCTGGGAGGGCGGGGCAGCAGCGGAGGGGAGCAGGCCTCTGAGCAGGGGCAAGGCGCAGTCAGGGGCCTCCTGGAGAACAGTGCTGGGGCCTGGGGCAAGCCTGCCAGCTGCAGGTGCAGGAGGGAGGTGGGGCGGGTGGGAGCCTTGCATGGGGTGAGTGTTTCATGGGGTGTGACTGTGGGGGCCACGGAGAGACGCCACGGTTCTGGGAGGCACAGAGGCCATCCTCAGGACGGGCACTGGAGGCAGCATCTTTGGGGGCTAGAGAACACGCCTGGTGGGGTGGGGCCAAGCAGGAGGGCTGCATGGGGAGCACGGCGGGAGCAAGGCGCAGAGCGGGCGAAAGGGGCCCCAGCCAAGCCCCTGAGAGACCTGGGGTCCTGGGTCCTGCCGGGTCCTGCTGGGTCCTGGGGCTCCCAGCCCCCCTGAGTGTCCCAGGCCGTGGAGTGGGCCTGACGCCCCAGACAGAGGGAGCCAGGCGGCCCGGGCTGACCTGGAGCCCTGTTCCCTCGCTGTCCATCAGGTGATGCGCTACGAGACAGTGACCGTCAAGGAGAGTGCGGGCCTCGACCCCACAGCACTGAGCCCCGCCAAGCCCCGGGAGAAGTGGCTCCGCAAGCGGACTCAGGTCAAGCTGCGGGTGCGTGCATGGTGGCCGCCGGGAGCGGGGGCGCGGGGGCCTGGGCTCCAGGGGCAGCTGGGGTGGTGGGGAGATGCTGGCTCCGGAGGAGTCGCTGGAGGTGTAGCCTCCGTAGGTGTGACCTGAGTCAGAGTGCTGCCCACGACCGTGGGGCTCGCCCCCCGAGCATGGCCTGCTGTGGTACTTCCACGACAGAGGGAGAGGAAGAAGACGGAGAAAAGGACTCTCAGGCCAGGCCGCACAGGGCTTCGTGAGCAAGAGTCACCTCTGCGGGGTGTTGAAGTATGAATAGGAGTTTGGGAGGCATAAGTGCACGTGCCGACTCGGCCAACGGTCCTCGAGTGTGGGCGTGGCCACTGTTTCCCCTGCGGCAGGGAGCGTGGGGCCTAGGGCAGAGCCCCTGCCCTGGTGGGCCCCTCGAGTCTGGTGGGAACATCGGCTGTGCACCCTGAGAACAGTCCTGAGGGCAGGAGGTGATCGGCGCTGCATGGACCGGCCGGTTTTGTGAACGCACATATTGAGCCAGAGCCACGTTTGACACCACGTGTACACCTGCACGGCTCCGTGGACCTCGGCGAGGTCACCGACATGTGCAGACCTCACTGCCGTCCGTTCTGGGACACACTCATGGACTCGGGGGCAGACCCCTTGCTCGTGCCCCTCAGCGCACCGCGCCCCCAGTGCCACTGTCTGTCGATTCCGCCCGCCTCTGTGTGTGGGTCACACAGCGTGCTGTCGTCCGCGTCTGGCTTCTCTTGTGGGGCGTCCGGGTTCCAGGCGTCTCCATGGCCAAGCAGGCGGCTGAGCCGTCTCCCTCGCAGGGACACACCCGTTGACCTGTTCGCCGGCTGCCGGGCGTTCTGGTCTGCTGGGAGCGATGCTGCCGGCCTTCGGCGGATACGTGTTCTCACTCTGGGGGTGCAGACCCGGCAGGGAAGGGTGGCTCGGAGCGGCAGCTGCCGTCTGTCTGTGGGAGGAGCCGGCAAGCTTCTCCGAGGAGACTGCACAGTTTTGCACCCTGTGGAGTGGGGGGCAGCGATGAGGGGTCCCGCCGCCCTGGCAAGTGCACCTGGGGTCTCCTGGTGGCGTGGCTCTGCGTTCCCCGGTGATGGGCAATACGAGCATCTTCCATGGTTTATTTGCACGATCGACTCTTCCCCCTCGAGTGTTCTTGCGGGGACCTGTGGCGACTGTGTCTAGCTCAGGATCCTGACTGCTTCCTCCACGCGTGCCCGGCGCCCAGCGCAGGGACCCATTTCCACGAGGGGCCTGCCGCTGAATCGCATGCAGACCCTGTGGGGGAGGGGGGGAGAGCCGTCTGCGGAGGGCTTCCTGGCGAGGTGCTGGTGCTGGGCTGGCCTTTGGGCCACGCAGAGTTGGGGCGCCAGGGTGAACCATGACTGGGCCGGGAGCAGCGGGACACGCGCTAGAAGGTTCACACGGGGTCAGCTCAGGATTGGGACTGCATCCCTGGGCGCAACAAGTCCACGGTGCTTTCCAAAGAGGGTTGGAGGGGAGCCCGGGCAGGTGTGGGGAGAGCTCTGGAGGGGGACGGTCACCGGCTTGAGAGATTCAGGTCTGGGAGCGAGGCCGGGTGTGGTGGGTGGGCCAGGAGGCCTCGGAGCCGCAGGGTGAGCAGAAGCCACAAGTGCAAGGACAGGGACGGCGGGAGGTCACAGACGAGATGACTCGGTGTCCAGGATGCCCCGGAGTGTGGTGCAGGCTCCCGCGGCCTCCTCACGCGATGGCCTCCTCACGCACTCCCTCCGCTCTGGCCCATCCCCCCGTCCCAGTAAATGGCTGGGGGATGTGAGCCGGGACCCGGGAAGGAGGACAGTCAGGGGACCGGCCGCTGCCATGCAGGACGGTCAGGAGCAGAGCGAGCTCGTCTGTCCCTGAAGACAGCGTTGGGGTCCATGGGCCTGTTTCTCAAGGGTCCCGTGGACCCTGGCTCAGAAGGTCTCCCGGGAAGGCATGGTGCAGCAGGGACACATTACCCTGGCCATCCCAGGGACGGTGTCAGGAAGAAGCCAGCCCCGGCTGAGCCTGCTCTGTTCTTCCAGAATGTGACTGCGAACCACCGGGCCAACGATGTGATCGCGGCCGAAGACGGCCCCCAGGTCCTGGTGGGGCGCTTCATGTACGGGCCCCTTGACATGGTGGCCCTGACCGGAGAGAAGGTACGGGGTCCACGCTGCCCCTCATGGGCTGCATGTGGCAGGAGGGGCGGGGGCTGGTGGGGGGGGTGCTGACTGCCTGTGGGGGGAGGTGGGAGCCGGGAGAAGGTCTCAGAGGGGAGCCAGGGAAAGGCGGGACCCCGGTGGGTCTGAGAGGCGGGCGGGGCACTAGGCGGAGGGGGCAGCGGGTGGAGAGTTCCCCGGCCAGGCCCTGGGCCCTGGGCCCTCCCCACCCCGGCCTTCAGGGAGTCCCGACCCTCCGCCGTGGGCAGGTGGACATCCTGGTGATGGCGGAGCCGTCCTCGGGCCGCTGGGTGCACCTGGACACCGAGATCACCAACGGCAGCGGCCGGATCACGTACAGCGTGCCGCGGCCCCGGCGCCTGGGGGTCGGCGTCTACCCCGTGAAGATGGTTGTCAGGTGAGACGCCGCACGGCCCTGCCAGCTGGGCCGTCTGGAGGTGGAGGCCTCGGGGCACCCTCCCGCGGGCCTGTGCCCGTCCGTGGGGAGAGAGGAGGACGGACGGGGCCGCCAGCCAGCTTCCTTCCGACCCCGGCCCCAGACTGAGCTCTGACCCCAGCTGCAGGCTGACCTCGGGCCTCAGGCTAACAGCTGACTCGGACGCACGGCTGACCGCAGGCAGGTGCCTTGTAGGGGCGACCAGACCTTCGCGACGAGCTACCTCACGGTGCTGCCCCGGGGCATGGAGTGCGTGGTGTTCAGCATCGACGGGTCCTTCGCCGCCAGCGTGTCCATCATGGGTAGTGACCCCAAGGTCCGGCCAGGCGCAGTGGACGTCGTCCGGTGAGTGCTCCTTCCCCATAAGGGGGCTGTCCTGCGGTCGGGGCAGAGGCCTGCAGCCCGGGGAGATGGCCGTGTGCTCTCTGGGCGGGGAAGTCCTGGTCTCAGGGACTCAGGGTCCCCTGGAAACGCCCTGCCGCTCGCGGACCCCAGCTCCCCGCTCCCTTGCAGTGTCCGCCCATCCCTGCAGCGGGTCAGGCCTGGCCTCCAGGCTTCCGACCCCGGTCAGGATGGTCCAGACGCGATCTGAGTATTTGGAGCGTGTCTGGCTGCGAGAAAGGGCTCTGCGTTTAGTAGCCAAAAATAACCGTTCGCCTTTCCATTTCTCGTGGTTCTGTGGGCTGCCCGGGCTCTGCCGGGATGTTGTCACATGTCCCCGTGACTCTCAGCCAGGTGGCTGTCTGGGCTGGGGTTCATCTGCGGTCCCCTGGGCTGGGGTCCCACGTGGCTTCTGTACTCATGTGAGCTCCTGTTCCTTGGCGGGGATCGCTTGCTCTCTGTCCACGTGGTTGCCCCACCGTGGCTGGTCTCCTCAGCACCAAGGGGGAAGCTACAAGCCTTCTTATGACCCAGCCTTGGGAGTCAAGGTGACCTTCCCACTGTGGTCTGTGGGTTGTACGTAGTGGCAGGGTCCACCTGGACTCAAGGGGCAGGGACCACGTGCAGGTATGCATGTGGGACATGTGGCTCCCTGGGGGCCACCTCTCGAGCCCAGTAAATGCACGGCTGCAAGCGAAGTCAACAGTGGACACTCTCCTGCTGGGCTGGTGCTGCTTGGGAAGCTGGGAAGGCTTCCTGGAGGAGGGGGCCCTGAAAGGCAGGGTTATGCAGAGGAGAGGAGAAGAGGAAGCCACAGAAATTGCCCAGGAGATGGGTCAGCCACAGAGCACAAGGCTTATGGGCCTCAGCGCTGCCCTGTGTGTGGCTGGGGGGGATGGACACTTCGGGGCAGAGCGCTGGGGGTCCCAGGTGCACAGAGGAGGGAGACCTTCGGACACGACATGGGGAGCCAAAGGAGCAGTGGGGGTAGGTGTGTGAAGCCACATTAAGGATAGCTAGGAAGCTGCCCTGTGGCACACACCACGCCCGCACACCTCCCTAGGCGTGTCTGGGACTGGTCCCTATTGGCCAAAGGACAGCCCTCTGGGGCAGTGTCCACTCATGCCCCCACTATACAGATGGACACTGGGGTCCTGGGGGACTGCCCAGGTTGGGCTGGAGTTGGGGTGCTGTGAGCGAGGGCAGAGAACCCAGCTGAGGGGGAGGGTGGGTCAGATCCTGCTGGAAGATGAGGCGCTCAGGGACGGGAAGGGGGGACATGGGGACAGCGGGGACAGCAGGGCAGGCAGAGCTGGCTTGTCTCTGTTAGGAAACGTGAGTGCCATCAGAGGCCCCTGGGAGAAGGGGACAGGAGCAGAGGGGGCAGCAGTGGGGATCAGTTTGATCGTGGGCATGTGCCTGTGGGCCATCTGGGAGATGTCTGGTACTTCTGGGACTTTGGAATCCTTCCCCCTGGTTCTCCTGGGGTCTCCTCAGGAGGGCTGTGGGGTGGGGGTGGGAGCTGGGGGGGCTGGGTTCTGCGGGGGGGCTGTAGGGAGGCTGCAGGTTGGAGGTGGGACAGCAGGTGGGAGAGTGGGTGGGGGCTGGGGGCCACAGGTGGGTGGGAGGGTGGGGTTGGGGGGGCTTGGGACTGCAGGTAGGGGATGGGGGCTGGTGGGGCCGGTGGCTGCAGGTGGGAGAGTGGGGGCTGGGGGCTTGGGGGCTGCAGGGGAGAGGGTGGGGAAGCTGGGAGGGCTGGGGGCCACAGGTAGGTGTGTAGGGGCTGCAGGCTGTGGGTCTGGCCCGGGCAGAGGTGGGCGGGGAGCGTGGCAGCTGCAGGCTCCGGGGTTGGACCTGTGTGCCGTGCGCCCGCAGGCACTGGCAGGACCTGGGCTATCTGATTCTGTACATCACGGGCCGGCCAGACATGCAGAAGCAGCGGGTGGTTTCCTGGCTGTCTCAGCACAACTTTCCCCAGGGCATGATTTTCTTCTCCGATGGGCTGGTGCACGACCCCCTGCGGCAGAAGGCCATCTTCCTGCGTAACCTCGTGCAGGAGGTGAGTCCCCGAGGCCGGGCAGGGGCGAGACTGGACCCCGGACGCTGCCGTGTGCTCCTCCCCTCCGCCCTCCGCCTACAGCCCACGCCTGGGTGCAGAGCGCATCCGTGAACCTCGCCGTGAGCCGGCATAACTCGGCGTGGTGGGTGCTGTCCGTGGGGGCCCATGAGGACAGCCAGGCTCCCTGAGGCTCGGTGACTCGCCCACAATCCCAGAGTCCCACGTTTCCACCTTTATCTCCTGCCCCCAAGCCTGAACTCTTGTCTCTGTGCCTGGTTACTCATTCAGTGGACACCTCAGTGGCTGCTTTGCTCCGTCCGGGTCCTGCTTCGGGCCACCGAGCTCTGCTCTCCTTCCGGCACTGTGAGCCGGGGCGGTCCTCGTGGTGGGACTCAGGCCCCAGCAGAACGTCCCCGGGGAGCTCCTTAGACAGGAGCACGCTCTGCCTCTCCCTCCTGCATCAGACACAGCACACGGGGCCTGTTCTGTACTCGGAGAGACCCTGATGGAGAGCGGCCCAGGGCTCAGGGTACCCACAGCCTTTGTCTGTGGACCCATCCTAAGAATGTAGTTTTTGTAGTTTTCGTTGGTTAGGGGAAAATCCAAAGGAGAATCATGGTTCATGGTGTGACGAGGACGGGAAACGCAGATTTTGGTGCCGGTAAACACCGTTGTAGTCAAGCGTGTCTGTGTTCCTTGCTTACACGGTGCTCACGCTGGGCACAAGTGTGCAGAGCCTACGACACTTACTGTCTGGGCTTTTACAACCAGGCCTGCCAGTCCCTGATCCAGAGGAAGAAAGACAGGTAAACTGACAGCCTCGTGGTCCACCATGAGCACAGGCCTCTTGGCAAGGAGGACGGATGTGGCTTTGCCTGGGGAGGGCAGAGAGGGCTTCTAGGAGGCGGCACATTCTGAGCTGAGTCCTGAAGCGAGAGTGTGAGTTTACCGAAGAAACAGCCTGTGCAAAGGCACTGAGGTAGACAGGAGCCTGAGATGTTCTCAGAGGTTTGTGTGTACAGGGTCAGGCCCAGGTCAAGCAGGACCAGAGGCCTGGAGGTCATCAGAGTCCTGAAGGTCATCAGGAGCCTTGAAAACCTTGCAAACCAGGCCGACCATAAACTCTGCTGAGGGGAATGGTGAGCCATGGAAGGGTCGAAAGCCGGGCAGCAGCAGTGACTGAAGCATTGCAGAAAGTTCCCTGCACGGTCAGACAAATGAGAGGTGGGGAGGCCAACAAGGGCGAGGCTGGTCCGAATCCAGGGGGTGGCCTTGGGGCTGGAGAGTATGGCAGGGACCGTCGGGGACTCTGGCAGGGGAAGGGTCAGGTCCCAGGGGTGGTTGGGTGGGGGTGCACTCCCTGCTGGCAAGTGCAGGTGCAAGCAGGAGTGGGACCGGGCGGGGTTCCCCTCCCTGCGGAGAAAGCTCCTCGCTGGTTCACAGCTGGGGCACAGCTGGGGCACAGTCCTCCCCAGGGCTGGTGGTGGCCAGGGTGGGAGGTGGGACTTGGGCAGAGTTTTTCTGGGGGGGCAGGAGGAGGCTGTGGCACCAGAGCCAGGTGGTCCCCTAGCCCCTAGAAGTGGGAAGGTGGACCCCGGAGCAGTTCTGGGGACGGTGTGAGGGAGGAGGAGGGGCCCAGGCCCGTGAGGGCTGAAGCTGTGAGTGACTGGGAGGAAAGTAGTGGGCGAGGTGTGGGGATGGGACCTTCAGAGCCCAGAGAGGCTGTTCTGAGTTCAGTGCCGGAGGCCACTATCCTTGAAGAAGGCAGGGTGGAGGCCCAGGCGGTCGCTGGGCTGTCCCCAGCGATGGTGGGATCAGAGTGGGGGCTCAAAGCGAGCAGTGTGAGGGTGGGCGTCTCCAGGGGTGGCCAGACCTGGAGCCGGTGGACACTGCAGTCCAGGCTCCTGTGGACGGCACAGGTTGCGGGTCAGGGCCAGACAGCATGGGCCTCCAGTCCTGGCCCCGCGTCCCCTGACGCCCCGTCCAGTGGGGTCCGCAGGCCCTGGGGTCCCGACTTCCCCTGCAGCTGGCTTGGTGCAGGACGGGGCGGAACGGGCGGCTCCTGCAGGGGCTCGCCCTGGCGCGGGGTGAAGCGGCCGGGCCTGTGTTTCAGTGTTTCATCAGAATCAGCGCGGCCTACGGCTCCACCAAGGACATCTCGGTCTACAGCGTGCTGGGGCTGCCGCCCTCCCAGATCTTTATTGTGGGCCGGCCGGCCAAGAAGTACCAGACCCAGTGCCAGGTGGGGCGGCTGGGCGGGGCCTGCGGGAGGGTGTGGGGCTGGGCGGGGCCTGCGGGAGCGCGGTCGGGGGAGGGGGGCGGCGGCGTAGGCGGCTGATGCTTCTCTCTGGTCCGTAGCCCTTCATTCGTTCCGCCCGCGCTAGTGGGTACGTGCCCGGGACCAGGCGCCGTGTGGGGCGCAGGGGGTGGACTCAGGTGTCCCCTCATCCAGCCCAGCGGGGTAGAGGGAACGTAGAGGCCTAATGCATGACAAGGAGCACGAGGTGGTGGCCCCCTAGGGAGGAACAGCTAAGACGGGGGCGGGGTTGGTTTTCGGGAATTTGGCGAAGGACTTGTTCAGGAAAGGCCTGGGGTCTGAGGAGCAATGGCGGCAGAGGTCGGGGGTGACAGCAGGGGCCCCAGCTTCCGGGGGAGGCAGGGCCTGGCTCACAGCCTCTTTCTGGCCCGGGTCAGCAGGCAGGTGCTGCCCTCCCAGGGACTGAGAGCAGGTTGGAGGAGGAGGGGATTGAAGGGAAGGTGATGATCCCCTGGGACGTGGGGTGTGACAGCGACCAGCAGATGCGGGCCAGAGATGGCGCCCCCAGGGTGGGACCCGGGTCAGAGACGGTGTCCCGCCCAGAGGGGGAACCGAGGCGGGCTTCTCCGGCTCTGATGCACACACCCGTCCTGGGGGCTTACCCAATGCAGATTCTGACTCTGGAGTCCCAGTGGGGCTGAGATTCTTCTGCTTGGTCCTGCAGCTGCTGCTGTCTGCAGCCCACTTTCTGGGGAGCTGGGGTCTGAGGACCCAGTGGGGGGGTGGGCACTGCGGGGGCCAAGACCTGATGGAGTTCCGTGGGGTAGGGGCTGGGTGATGGGACAAACTTGCATTTGGGGGGTTCAGTGGCAAGCGACAAGGATGGGGGCCTCCCCCCGACCCCGATCAAGAATCCGGAGCTCTGGTGCGCCCCACGGGTGCAGATGGAAGGGCTCGGAGGCCGGGCAGGGAGCTGTGCGCGTTGGTGAGCTCCCTGTTCCCGCCAGGCTCCACGGCGAAGCTGGAGACCGTGCTAGGGCGGTGCGGGGTGACACTGGCGGTGGCAGCACAGGGCCCCTCCCGCCTGACGCCTGTCCCCCCGCCCGCCCCTGCAGTTTCTGAGCGAGGGCTACGCCGCGCACCTGGCGGTGCTGGAGGCCGGCCACCGCTCGCGCCCCAAGAAGAACAACTCGCGAATGGTCCTGCGCAAGGGCAGCTTTGGCCTGCACGCCCAGCCCGAGTTCCTGCGCAAGCGGAACCACCTGCGCCGCACCATGTCCGTGCAGCAGCCCGACCCACCCGCCAACCCCAAGCCTGAGCGGGCACAGAGCCAGCCCGAGTCTGACAAGGACCACGAGCGGCCCCTGGCCGCGCTCAGCTGGGCACGCGGGCCCCCCAAGTTCGAGTCGGTGCCCTGAGGGCCGGGCTGTGTGCAGAGCAGGGGGGCCCTGCCGGCTGCCCGCGGGCTGGGAGGGGCTGCTGCTCCCCGAGATGGGCCTTTTCCTGCTTTTTCCTTCCCGTGTCTGTCCAGCAGTGTCCAGCCAGAGCGGGGAGGGACCTGCCATGCCCGGGGGGGCTCCCCGGGCCACGAGGGGGAGATCCCAGGGTCTGTGTGCAGCCGCGGCTGCCTCCCTGTGCGGTGCCCGTGACCGCAAGCCCAGGTCAGGGCTGGTGTGGGTGTGATCCTGGGGAGTGGGCCTGCCTGGAGCAGGAGGGTTGGACGGAGTTGACCATCCTGCGGGGTTCCCACGGCTTTGGAGGTGCCGGGCAGGGAGGGGAGAAGCCCCCAGACCGGGGGCCAGTGGCCCCTGGCAGGCACGGCTTTCTGGCTGCCTGCTGGAGGGGTGAGCAGCACTGGCGCCATCCTTCTTGTCGCATCCCGGGTCACCGTCTTGGGCCTCCTGGCTTTCCTGGGGCCAAGTGGCCACTTTCTGGGAGTGAGAGGATATCCCCTGGATCCTCCTGTGTTTGCAATGTCTGTCCAGGGCCTTGGGGGGTCGGGGTCTGGTGCTGACGGTCTGTCCTCCTGCGGTTGTCCATAGTCCCCGTCTTGTCTTCGGTATTGTTACCATTCTCCTGTGGCCCATGAGGACAGTCATTCCTCTTCCCAGGGCCCTGCCTGGCGCCCTCCCCCGTGAGGCTGCAGCCATGAGCTCTGGCCCAGCTGGGCTGGCTGTGAGACCTGGAGCCCACTGCTTGCCCTCTCTAGGCCTGCCTTCCATATGGGATTGGGTGGGTCTCTCTGCTGAGACTGGTGCGGGTTTCTGATTCCTGGGCTGTCTTGCACTTAGAGCTACACAAAGCCTGGTGTGCCCCTTGCACGCAGCCTGAGGGGGGCTCTGGGGGACCCTTGTGGGCACCCAGCACCCCACCAGTTCACAGGAAGCCCCTGGGAGGGGGATGGGGATGGGAAACTGGGAAGGGCTCCCTGCTCCATGGGGTAGCTTGCTTTCCACTGCTGCCCAAATCATGTGTCCTAGGAACAGGGACATCCCCCCGAGGGCACTGATCTGACTCGCCCTCCCCACCTCTGCTCAGACTGATTCTCACTCTTGGCTCCTGGAGGGCACAGAGCTGAGACCCAGGCATTCTGGGGGTTCATGTGATTTTGGCTCAAACTGTTGTATTCTCTTTGCTTCCGCCTGCCACTCTGCTGGGTTTGGTGCCCTCACCCTCCTGGATCATCCTCTGAGGTTGGCAGGGCTTGGCTCCCAGAGTGGGGGGCCCCTCAGAGCCTGCCCAAGGCATCCTGCTGCGAGCCCCTGCAGGGGACCTGGGTCTTCTGCACCCCAGCTGCTGTCCCCGTGGGCGCCGTGGCCTGCTTCAGGGCCCCCTCTGGCCGCCCCAGAGCTGGCTCAGCTCCTCCAGACAGGGCTGCGCCCCTGCCGGGCTGCCCCGGAGCCTAGACATCTGTGTCCGCAGCAGGCACCCACGTGGGCCCCGTGTCGCTTCCGCTCGGCGTCTACCTCTTACAGCTCCCGCGTGGCCGGCGTTCTCCCTGACAGCGGCTGCTGGCGGGGAGGGCTGGCACCGCCCTGTGAATTGCGGGGCAAAGCAGGCCTCCCGCTGGGACCGGAGGGGGCCGGGCTCCCAGCCCCCATCCCGCGCACTCCTGGACACGATTCTCTTCCAGCGCGGCAGACGCGCGCGCCCCACCTGCAGGGTGTCCTCCCCCGCCCGCCCCACCTGCGGGCAGCTCCCGCTCTGGCCCTGCCGCCCGGTGGTCCGCGGGGGCCACTTCTCCGTCCACATTCCATCCGTGGGGCGCTCCGCGAGGCCGCAGCGCGCGCGCACAGCCGTTTCCACCGTTTCCAGAACACGCGACGCCGCGCCCATCCCTTTCGCGGAACTACTGATGTGGGTGATACAGTCGTTCCGGGGAGCTCGGCCTTCTCTGTCCTGCGCGACCCCCGGGCTGGAAGCCAGAGAGATGGAGACAGAGACCGCGCCAGGACCCCGCAGGGAACCTGCATCCCGTGAGCGGGGCTCCGAGCGCTGGTCTGGAGCTGGGGTGGGGGACCGGGCAGGAGGCCACCCTCATCCTGTCCTGAGCTCGGAGGACTCGCGCCGGCGACGCTGAAGCCGGGCGCAGGCGCAGTGGGGTTCTGCGCGGGAGGCCCCCCCGCCCCCGCTTTCCCCGCGACTCCAGCCCACACGCGCCCCATGGACCAGCGGCCTGTTCTGTCGTGTCCGTCCGCTCCAGTCGGAGAGAAACAAAGCACCCCGTGGTGCTGTTGTCGGGAGGGGGGCCCTGCCTCTCCCCGGAGCCGTTCCGCGACCCCGGTGTGGCTGCTTTCCAGAGAACCCTTCCAGTTCCCGGTGCGCCCGCTCCGGGGGAGCCGGGATCCCCTCTTCCCGCCTGACCAAAGCTCCTCGTCTCCCCTGTGGCATGTTTGTTCTTCCCGACCCGGGGGCTGTCCTTGCCGCAGCGCTGCCTGCCGCCCTCCTCCGCCCTCTCCCTGCCGGGGGCGCGCAGTGCGCCCGGCCGGGCCGCTCTCGGCCATCATGCGTTTTCTTCGGAAGTTCGCGCGACTTCTCCCTGAGGCTCCACAAAACACGTGTTTCAAGAAGCCGACTCTTCCTGCGTCTGGGTGAATGGCCTCCTGTCTGGGCGCGGGGCGGGGCAGAGCAGGTGTGGACCCCGCATTCCGGGGGTGGCCGGGGGGTGGGCTCCCCGAAGCAGGGAGAGGCTCGTTCTACCACCTGAGAGGCGAGTCTGCGCCCCCGACGTGGCCTGCAGGCAGAGTGCGGCGCCCATTTTTAAAAGAAAGTCAGACACCGGAGCTGGTGGCAGCAGGTGCCGAGATGGCGCTGGTTCTGCTCGGAAGCGCCCCGGCCCAGCTTCGGTGCCCGCCCCGCCGGGGAGGGGCGCCCGGACCTCGGAGGAGCCTCGCGGCTTGACCCCGCCTTAAATAACCAATGTCCCGCCGATTCCCCGGGTTTGGGTGCCACGTGCTCTGGAAACCTATTCTCTTCCGCTCCGCCAAAAGAAACCACCCCTCTCTCCCTCCCTCCTCCTAGTCTTGGGGGAACTTTTGTAAAAATCACAGCTAGGGTCAGGTCCCTGAGCAGCAGTGAGGCCTGGCCGGGTCCTACTCTTGGGGCCAGGAGGGAACTCGGAGTCTGACCTCACCCTCGCTGGGACAAAGAGTGGCAGGTGACACCAAGGAGGGGCAGGACAGGAGCAGCCAGCTCGCGGGGGGCCCCCCACCCTGGGACCCCACTGTCTGTTTCTATTTGTTTACTCCGCCGGGGGCGGCCTGTCTGACCTTGTCTGTGGCCTGGCTGCTCCTCGGTGTGTGAGTCAGTGTTACCTGTGCGGGATGGTTGTGCTGAAAATGGTTTCTCCCACTCCTCATGGCTGCCTTGTACAAAATCCGTTAGAGAACATGTAAAATACCAGATTTCTAACCAGACCCACGCCTAGCACTATGGAGTTCAACCATTTTTACAAACTGGTCTTGATTTTGATGTGAGCTGGTTTTTAACTCTCAAATGTTGTCACTGAAATAAAAACCTGATTTGCCTTTAAGGTGTTCTTGGTCCTGAGCAAAGCTGAGGGATGTTTTCTGTTCCTCGTTCCCTGCCCCCCGAGCTGGGGGCTGGCGGCTTGGCCGGGGAGGATGAGGGGAGCCCAGCCCTGCTGCCTCGAGTGGGGTGTGCGTGTCTGTGTGTGCAACACAGAGAACAGATGTCACAGAGGCAGAGCCTTTATTATGAAAATCATCGTTATCTCCAGAGAAGTCAACTGGTAGTTTTTTTTGAGTAAAATGACAAAGCAGATTTCTTAAATAATTTGCCGACAGCAGAAATGGCCGCTGACCAGTGCTACCCCTCCCTGCACACTCATGGTACCCTGTGCTGGGGATAAATAGGGATCTGTGGGCCCAGGGGCTTGGGACTTGGGGGAGGGGTTGGCACGGGGATGGGAGCCAGGGTCCCTGGAACTGGTCAGTCCAGGGGCTGATTTCTCAAAGGTCTGTCTCCTGGGCGCACAGCTCAGGGTCCCCCAGGACCTCTGCTACCCGGGCTTCCCATTGTAGACGCAGCCACAAAGTGTGGGGTGAGTTTCCAAGCCCAAAAGGGGAGGTGAGTGAACCACCCTAGCCTCTCCCCACGTGATTCTCCGGCTGGGGTGGGCGGTCAAGGACAGAACCAGATGTAGCCAGGGCAGGAGCCGGGCCCCCCCCCCAGCAGCCTCCACCTGGGTCCTTGTTAACAGTGGCCCCAGGGCCGTCCTCAGGAGCTCGGGGGGACACACGGATCCTGGTGTGAGGGCGCGGTGGTCAGATGTGGCTTGCTTCCCACAATACACAGTTCCCTTTGTGCCCCCTCTGTGCTCAGAGCAGGGAAGTGGGAGCGCCATGGTCATCCCCCCAGAACCAGGAGCTGGAAGGTGGGCGGTATGCTCGGCTCGGTATGGGTCGGTGAGGTCAGCGGCTCTGGCTCCAGGCAGGCGGGACGCCTCACACACTCCCGGCTCTGCTGGGCCCATCAGCTCTGTGGGTTTTTCCAGAAAAGGCTCTGTTCGTGCACTTGTTTGTGCATGAGGAGGAGGAGGAGGAGGAAAGCCCAGGGAAGATGTTTGGGAGGAAGGCATTGTCTGCAGGCACGTCCTCAGTCGCGGATGAGAGAAACGGTCATGTCCGTCATGTTGCCACTAGAGATGGGAGGGCGGGAGGGACAGAGGCTGATGGGGCTGCGGGCTCGGAGGGGACCTCCTGCCACATACCAGAGCTGGCTGGGCCCCACCCAGGAGCCCATCATGGCCATTGTATGAATGGGGACTGGCCCCAAGCTGGGGCAGCTGCAGACTCAAGGCTTGCCTCCAGGGCCCTGAGCAGACAGGCCAGAAATGCCACCATGTCCACAGAGCTCTTCCCAATTCCACGGGCAGGCAGGAGAGGGCAGCCATGGGGAATGTTGGAGGAAGGGCGGGTCTTTCCTGGCCTGGGGGGGTTCCAGGTGATGGACATACATGGCACCAGGGCCCTGCGTGTTTTGTTCCCCTCACGTTAGAGATGAGCAGAGGGAGGTCCAGCGAGGGGCAGGGGTAGGCCAGGGTCACACAGCAGGACAGAACCAGGGGCAAAGAGGTCCCCCAGAAATGCCGGCTCACCTCTCTTCTGCCACAATGGCCTTGTCTAGCTCTTGGGACAGCTGCTGGAGATGCTGAAGTCCTGCTCCCACAGGCTCTAGGTCACTGTCAGACTCGCTGAAAGAGGGAAAAGCTACCCCGGTGACCCGTGGGAACCTGAAACGAGCCCCTCCCAAGCTGCCCTGGACTGGGGCGATGTCCAGGGGGCTGGGAACACCTTGTCCCAGACCCTCCCCCTGCCCCCTCCCCCGCAGGAGTGACACAGGCGAGCTTGGAGCACCTGGCAGAGAACAGAGGCTCGAGGCCCAGGTCAAGGGCAGGTGACCTTGCAGACAGGTCAGCCCTGCTGTTGCCCCCATGGAAACGGAGCCTCGGCCTCCAGCTGCCGTCTAGACTTGCTTCGGGCTCATTGGAGGCTCATGTCTTTGACGGATAGGGAAACTGAGGCCCTGGAGGACCTCCCAAGGCCCCCGGTTGGCAGGGGGTGGTGGTGTGGAACGCGGCTGCTGGCAGCTCCGGGTGCCCCTGGCAGCCACAGGAGGGGGCCCAGCTCGCGTCGGGGGGCCCCAGCACTGCCCCTCTTACCTGGGGGAGCAGAGGGGCTCTGTGGAGGAGTAGGGGCTGCGGAGGGCAGCCTCCCTCCTGGACCGCCACAGGGGGTAGGTGCGTGGGCCCCCACGGGCAGAGAGCCGGGGACTGTCCCTCTCCCATGGGTCCAGGGCCACGTAGGCAGGGGCAGCTCCGGACAGTCGGGGGCCCTTCTGTGCCCCCCTCCTCCTCCTCCTGGCTGTCACCTGGGTTTCCACCAGCCACTTGGTGCCACTGTGGCAGGACTCCTGGATTCTCTGTGGCGGGTGCAGGGAGAGGTGAGCGTGGCCATCGCCAAGGGGCGCTCTCCCGAGAGCCGCGATGGGACCTCCCGCCCCACGGCCTGCCAGCGGGCACAGACACCAGCAGCTCAGGGGCCTGGGAGAGGGGCGTGGACGAGCCCCTGGGAAACGGTCCTGATCCGCCGCAGCCACGGGGAGTGAGTACGCATTCACCCAAGTCCCTTCCGGGACCCGTAACGCCCCTGACTCTCCCAACAAAGCCCGGAGACTGGGCCTGCCACCTCCCACCCCCGACCGGCCCCTGGTCTCACCCAGTGGTTCACGCTGCACGCGGGTGCAGTCCTCTCTGGGCCAGCTGACAGGACACCCAAGGGCTCGGAAGCCGTCTGGGGCTCCTCACTGCCCACAGCAGCAAGTCCGAGCTCCAGGGTCTCCCGGACCCACCCGGCTTCTCTCCCCCCAGAACATCTGCCCCAGCAGAGCCAGAGGGCAGAGGTCAGAATGAGACCCGCGTTCCGTATGGCAGGTGGTGTGGCCGAGGGCCGACCGTCTCATTTCGTGTCTCTGAGCCCTGGGGGACAAATCCGTGCTGGGGCTCCTACAGACCAGACTGACGTTTGGCTCAGGACCTCTCAGTGGAAGGTCTGGGGATTTCGGGTCCCCAATCAGACCCCAAGGAGACGCCCGGCCCCATTCTCTCCTTGGGGGTGAGTCCATCCTCACGGTTTCTGTCCCTCCTGGGTGACACCTTCCCTCATTTTTGGGTGCCCTTCCCATCCTTGCTCTCCACCCTCTGGCCACACCCAGGCTTCCCCCCAGCTCTGGAGAGGGACTTACACTATGTTGCTTGCCTTACGGCCCCCTCCCGCTGCCCCTCTCCTGGGTGGTTCTGTGGTCACCTCGAGAAGCTTCCTGTGTTTGGTGTCCCCCATTACGCCCTTGCGTGTCACCCCACCACAACGCAGCTCTGGCCTCTTGCCATTGTGGGGCTTGGTTCCTCTGGACTGCTCACCTGTCCTCATTGGCTCTGCCTCCTCAGAGGGGCCCTGGGAAGCAGCTGTCTGGTGCCACAGAAGCCTGAGCTAAGGGACAGGTAATGCTGCCGGCCTTACCTGGGACACGGCACCCAGGGCGCTCTTAGCAGAGCGAGCCGCAGCCTGGAGGCCCTGCTGCCCTGGCCCGGGGCTTTCCAGGCGTTTCCAGGAGGGCCCTGCCCCGAGGTTGAGGCTGACAGCTCTCAGAGGCAGCCTTCTCTGGAAGTGTCTGCACAGGGAGCCCAGGGCCCCACCCGAGGTCTCCGGATGGCCAGCCACAGGCCGTGGCCCGTCCTCCTCCTCCAGCTGTTCCTGGTCCTGGAGTGGTGTCCGGCGCACTGAGGTCCCCACGCCCGGCCACTTGGAAGCCATCTGCCTGGCCAAGAGACTGTTCAGCCCACCAGATCCTGGAAGGAAGTCAAAAGGCAGGTCAGCACGGCAGCCCCCTTACCCTCCCTGGGCCCCACGGGCACAAGGCAGCCGGGGCTGGGTGTGGAGGCCCCTGGCAGCTGTGGGTGCGGGAAGGAGGGTGTGTCCTGGAAGAGAGGTCAGAGGCGCAGAGGAGGGCGGAGGATGGACAGGCAGCTCCGCCTGTCCTGCGGTCCCTGCCCGCCAGTGTCCACAGCACCCGTCTTCCATCCAGCTTCCTTTCGGCTCTCTGCCGCAAGCGGGGAGGCAGGATCGGCCCTTGCCGACCTCCCTGCGCCGGGGCCGCGTCCGACGCCCTTTGGCGAACTCGCGGGGGCCCGAGGCACTCCAGCCGCGCAACCTCCCCCCAACTCTCCTGTCTGCGTCTCGCAGCCCCCGACGGCCCCGCATGCGCGCCCGTCCTGCCCGGAGCCCCCCGCCCCGTCCGGTCCCGTGGGAACGGAAGCGCCACCGAGCCCCGGGCCGGACTCACCCGACAGCCCCCCGCGCCCCCCGCACGCCCCGCCGGCCGCTCCGCGCCCACCCCGCCGGTTTGAATCTCCGCGCGGGTCCGCCCCCGGCCCGTCCTCGCCGCTGACTGGCTGCGTCCGCGCAGCGCGGCCGCGCCCGGGATCCGATTGGACCCCGCGCTCGCGGCGGGGCTGCTGCCCTCCGATTGGCTGGCCGCCCGGTTCCCGCGGGAGGGGGCCGCAGCGGGGGGCCGCCCCTTTGTCTCCGCGGGGGTGGGCCCAGCCTGGGGCCGCCCCTTTGTCTCCGCGGTCCAGCGGCCGCGCGGGGGTGTCTGCCCGGAGCGCTCGCGGCTTCCCGCTCCCGCGTGGGTGTGTCCGTCTCCATCCCTTGCCCTGTGTTCCCCAAACGTGCCCCGGCACTCTGGACCTAGGAGACCTGGAGGAGGGGCCAGAGCAGGGTACCCGCCCCCCACCCCCCGCCCGCCCTCCTCCAGTCCAACCCCGCTCAGGTCGAGGCTTCCCCCAACCCCTGCATCGGCACAAGCTCCAAAACTCGCCCTTTGGAAAGCTCCTCCCTCTTTCGCGCGACCCCGGGGCCAGGCCGCGCCCCCCCAGCCCAGGCTTCCTCGCTGCGAGCTTCACCCACCCCCCCACCCCATGGCTCTGTCCCGGGCCGTGCAGCGCGCCCCCTCTCCGGCCGGTCTCCGTTGGCTCCCCAGCCCTTCCGCGTAGCATGGCCCTGGGCCGCGACAGAGCTGGTCACCCAGGCCTGGGGCTCAGGAATCTCCCAAGCCCGGGGCTCAGGAACCTCCCTCCCCGCAGCGGGGGGGATGGAGGGATGGGGGAGCTGCGCGCCGCAGGTGCTGGTATGCTCGCCGAGCCCTTCTGTGACGACCTCGCTGGACCCTCAGGGCAGCCTAGGAGTAAATGAGGAAACTGAGGTCTGGCGAGGTTAGGTGGGCCCCAGTGGCCCTCAGTTAGAGGACCAGGGTCCCTGCGCCCGCTCCTCAGATCTAGCGTGTGGGGAGAGACGGGGCGTCCATGAACCGAAGAAACAATAATCAAAGAAAATGACAGTGAAGGCCCCCGTGTCGCAGCGTTTACAGCTGGGGCCTCCAGAATGAGCTAAGGGAGCCCAGAACGTATTTGAGCATGTGGGAGGAGACTCCTGGCACCGAGGGGCCAGCACCCATGGTGGGACACCCAGCTCACAGGTGTGTGAGACACAAGTTTCTGGAAACGAGTGGGACTCTGAGCGGTGGGCTGGGATGTTCTGCTTTGCTGTTTCATTGTGTGACCACGGCTCTTCCTGTCCCTGCCTTCCCCACGTGGAGGATGAGCTGTGGCCTGTTGGGGACAGGCGTGTGGATGGCACTTAGGGGCTTCGATTCCCGCCTTTCCCCAAGGACACAGGAGAGGGAAGGCGAGCGCCCTTATTCTCGGGAAAACTAAGCTGGGTGTGGGAGGGACTCACTGAAGGGAAACAGTCTCAGCTTGGCCGGGCTGCTCCCTTCTGTGTCTGGCCGTCAGAGGACAGTCCGCGCTGGCCCAGCCCTGACCCGGGCCAAGTGCGCTTCCTGCCCTGCCGCCCAAGGAGGAGCTATTTTTACTCGCATTTGGATGACAGCACAGATTTCCAAGGCTGAAGTGTCTGGCCCAACATGGGAGCACAGAGTCAGCAGGAACCGAAAACTTGGTGTCCGGCTTTGCACCCCAAATGCCTAATCTTTGATCACAGGACTTCCTCAGGGTCAGACGTGAATGGAGGGATGTTTGACCAGGCCCCCCTGCCCATGTGGGGCTTTGCATCTCCTCCCTCAGAACGTCCCCATCCCTGCCAGCCCAGGGGAAAGGACGGCAGTGTCCACGACAATGAGGAGGAAGAGGAGGAGGAAATGTCTTCTTGTGAATGAGAGACTCTCTCTTGCGGGGAGCAGAGCCGGCCAGGCGGGAGGAGGAAAGGGGGCATGATTGGGGGGCAGGCTCCTAGTGGAGCGGTGGCAGGAACGGGGGCAAAGCCATTCCCAGGCAGAGGCTTTCTGGGGTCCAGCCTCACCCGTGCCTCTGTTGCCAAGGAGGATGGAGGAGGAGGGGCCCCAGCCCTGCCCTGTCCTGGGGGACTCCCTGGCCAACAGCAGAATTTCCTGCTAGTTCCCACGACCTCCTGGAATGGCCGGTGCTGGAAGCAGACCTACGCTGGGCCAGATGCTGCAAGGGAGGCGTCCTTGGGGTGAGGAAGACGACGAAGGGGTGTGGGGAACCCCACGTGAGCAGGGGCAGGGTAGACTCCCCCAGAATGCGGCGGTTTAGCAGATGCAGGGTGGAGGGGGGTGGAGAGGCTTTCCTCAGCTGGGGCCTGCCAAGACTGATATAGGGGACCAGGCACCGCCCATTTCCAGGACCAAGGAAGGCGGCTGGCGGACTGAAGGCCCACCACCCTGGGGACAGGTGGCCCGGGCCAGGAGTGGCTCCACTGGGCCGGGGTTGGGGGGAGCCTGGGGTGTGTCCTGAGGGGAGCAGAGATCCTTTGATGGGTTTTAAGAGGGTTGGGGTTATTAGGGTTGCCTTTTCCGGGAGTCCGTTAGGAGGTTAGTCTGGGGCTAACCGCGGCTGGGGGCACATCGGGACGCTGTGGCCTGAGCACCTCCTTCTTCTGGCTTCGGCTTCAGCAAACACCCCCAAACCCCAGTCCCGCTCCTCCGCACCGGGGACCCAGATCTATGCCTTCTACCCCAGCACCCACCCCCCAACTCCGTGCCTCTCTGCCCTCCAATCACGGATTATAGCGAGAAGCCAGCCGTCCCCAGCAGGGAGTCCAGCACGATGAGCACAGACAGAGCCGACAGCCATGCCGCCGCTGTGGGGGAGCAGTCAGCATGGCCGGGACCCCAGAAGCAGCCCCCCCACCCCTGGGTCCTGCCGCCCTCTCTCCCTCCCCCGACGTCCATGGTAATCGCGTTATTTCCCTCTAAGTATCCGTCTTGCTTCCTGTGCGTTTGGACCCCTCTGCGTGGCTGTGTGGTCAGAGAAGGACCCCAGGACTCCTGCTCCCAGAGAGGGCCGGATGGGGACCCTAGGGGGTCTGAGCACCCTGGGAGGGGCCTAGGGGCCTGATCCGGCCGCCCTGGTCTGGGCTTAGGGGCTCAGGCTTGGCCTCTATGTCAGGTGGCTCTTTGTGGGAGACTTTGGGGGGGCTGGAGAGGTGGATCTCTCCACTTTGGCGGGGCAGGTGGAGTTAAGGAGGGTGGCAGACACCCAAGGCCACAGGTCAGGAAATGAGAAGTGTGGTCAGGGGCTCTATGTGGCTCTTGATAATCCAGTGTCCCTTCCCGAGGGGGTCACAGAGAGGAAGGACCCTGGGAACCAGAGCTCCCATTGGCCACAAGGTGGCGCCAAATACCACGCCTTCAGGTCACCTGTCCCTTTGAGTCCCGAACGGGGATCCCAGGTGCAGGACTGAGCTCTGCAGGGGTCCCGGAGCACAGGGGTGAGGGATGAGACCCTCCACCTCGGGAGAGAGAGTCCTGCTCCCCACAGTCAGAACCTGGAGTGGGGGCTGCAGCGGGGCTGGGGGACACCCTTAACTTTCCCCAAACTTGTCCTTTCTCTCCTCTGGTTTTAGAACCCCCCAGGCCAGAAACCTGCTCTCCCCCCCACCCCCGCATCACATCCTCTCCTGCACAATGTTTAGGGGGAGAGGAGGAGGATACAGGAAAGAAGGAAGGCAGGGACTGTAGAGACCATAAGACCTTGGCATGGATACCAGGACATGGAGGGGGCTTCAGGCTCCCCTCCTGTTTCCCTTTGCTGGGCTGAGGCCTCTCTCCTGCTACACCCCTCCCCATCTTCTCTGAGAACCCTCTGGCCTCTTTCTTTCTTCTTGGGATGGGAGAAAACCCTTGGTGGCTGGCTGGTGGGGGCCTCACCTCCCCCTGCGGAATAGGGAGGAGGAACCGCCCACCCCGGCTTACTCCTGGCTCACACCTGCCCCGGGGGCAGGGTCAATCCCCAGGTCTGGGTGTCTTCCTCCTGGGAGATTACTCAGCCTGAGCCCGGGAGCCATGGAGGCCGCTCTGCTCCTGAACGTGGAGGGGGTCAAGAAAACCATCCTGCACGGAGGGACTGGGGAGCTCCCAAACTTCATCACGGGGTCCCGGGTAAGTGGACCTGGTCTTCTGGCTCCAGAACGGGGCTCCCTGATGGCCGCCTTCTGCATTCCTGCTGTGCCTCTTTCGGCTCTGCCAAAAGAGAGTGAGGAGGGCCCTTCCCAGAACTATCGACCCTGAGCAACTGGGAAGCTCGGAAACGGCGCCCACTTGCCAGACGTCTGTGATGCTGGCAAATTAAACTCCGGCGTGGGCTGGGGAAAGGGCTTTGGGAGTTTTCTGATGCCCCAATGTAGAGTGGAGCCCTCAGGGTTCACGGTTTTGTCCACAAATGTCTGGTGGGCTTCCCTGGATAACGGAGTGGGGGGGTCTGTGGCCTCAGATCTAGGGCTTCTGTAAGCCGGGCTCTGAGGTCCTGCACAGCTGCCAGGCAGCGGGACAGCCAGTGGCTCGGGGCCCTTGGGGCGGGGGCGAGGGCAGGCAGTGTGGGGTCGCTGTGGGGTCCCGGCATCTGGATGGGGTACGGTGCGCTGAGCCCGGAGGTTGGCCCCACGAGTGACGGTGGGAGGTTTGTCTGAGACCAGGGTCCCCTCCTGCCGACCAGGTGATCTTTCATTTCCGCACCACGAAATGCGACGAGGAGCGGACGGTGATCGACGACAGCAAGCGCGTGGGCCACCCCATGCACATCATCATCGGGAACATGTTCAAGCTGGAGGTCTGGGAAGTGCTGCTGACATCCATGCGGGTTGGTGAGGTGGCCGAGTTCTGGTGTGACACCATCGTGAGTAGCCCACGCCTGCCCGCGCGGTCCACGACTCCAGCAGCCCCGTCCCTGCTCTGCGGGGCAAAGTGGGGTGAAAACGAAACCCTGCATCCCTTCCTCTGCCTCTGAGCACATGGAGGAGAGCTACCCCAGACCACAAGCCCCCAGAGTGGCTGTTGGTGGTGGTGTCACCTGGGGGGCAGGGTAGGGTGTGGCACCAGGACCTCGCCCCACACATGGTTACTGGGTCCTGGGGACTTTTGGTCACTGGTCACTTTCCTGCCCTTCTGCCTGTGCCTGCGAGCCATGTAAAACTATTCTCAAATCTGTAACCCTCCTGGGATCGTCTCCTTGTTCTGTGGCCCAGACAGAAATGGCAAGACTCATTTTTTTTTTTAAAGACTTTTTATTTATTCATTTGAGAGACAGCGAGAGAGCACAAGCAGGAGGAAAAGCAGTGGGAGAGGGAGAAGCAGAATCCCCACTGAGCAGGGAGCCCGACATGGGGCTTGAGCCCAGCACCCTGGGATCATGACCTGAGCTGAAGGCAGGCACCCAACCCACAGAGCCACCCAGGCACCCCCAAGACTCACAGACATTTAAACAAACGTTTCTTTCTTTCTTTCTTTTTTAAAGATTTTATTTATTTATTTGACAGATCACAAGTAGGCAGGGAGGTAGGCAGAGAGAGAGGAAGGGAAGCAGGCTCCCTGCCAAGCAGAGAGCCCGATGCAGGGCTCAATCCCAGGACCCTGAGATCATGACCTGAGCCGCAGGCAGAGGCTTAACCCCCTGAGCCACCCAGGCACCTCTAAACAAACATTTCTTATGGAAACTTTCAAGCATATACAAAAATCGACAGAAAGCCCAGAGAAGTCCCCAAGCCCATCCCCCACACCAGCCCCCACTGGACCCCAGCCAGGCTTCACTCATCCCTCCCTTCTCTCCCTCATCCCACACAGCTAAACCACACTCCAGACTCCCTACGTTACTGCTGCAAAGACAAATCTGTATCTGTAAAAAGGGCATTAAAGTAACATCACCTCAGTGTCATTACTACGTCTTTTGAAAACCCCGTAATTCCTTCAGTCCGATTCTCTCTGGTACTGTCCACAGTTCTCTAGCTTAGTGGCTGGCTTGTTCCAATCTCGACCCAAACACAGTCCATGCACAGGGGATCCCCACATTCTAGAAAGCTGGTTGATTTCCATGGGACCGTCCACTGTGTTCCTCTGTCCCCACAGTTTCTAGAAATTGTGTTGCCGGCTTCCCACTCGGCGCCCGGTCCACTGGCCTCTCGTGCTGGGAGTCTCTTCTCACTGTGACCGGTCGACGGGCTCAGATGTCGCGGGCCTGACCCAGCCATTGCTGGGCTCCCCCGTGTCTTTCACCCAACGGGCGTACCAGCCCTTGATGGCGGCCGCTCCGACCCATCACGTCATCGGGGCCGCTGACCCTTCGAAGGAGCAATTTGGGAGAGAGAGAGAGAGAGAGAGATATCTGAGTTTGAGCTCTGTGGCCCCAGGGAAGCCCTTTCTCCCTGGGACACTCTGCGTCACTCATCTATAAGGGAAACCTGGTGCCGGGGTCCGGTTGGGGAGACTACGGGACGTGGTGGCTGCTCGGACAAGTCGTAATGGGGGAGCACTAGCAGAATTTCAGATGCTGATGAGGAGGCACGGGGCAGAGACGGGGAGTGACTTGCTCAGGGTCGGGGTGGGATCCCCGGTCCCCTCCCTGCTCTTGGCAGGGTCTGCGGGTCACAGCACGAGTCAGGCTGCAGAGCCGCCTCCGCCGCTAGGGGCGCCCGCCGCCCCGTCCCTCATTTCTTGGCTCACAGGGCGGGCACCAACTCTTTGCCCACCGGGGTCTCTGCTGGTCTTGGTCCTGGTGCTTAGAAAGCTGGTCAAGGCATTTTATTCTTAACTGCCTGGGTCTTCAGAAAATGGGCTTCCTCGTGGCTTCAGATGGTTTAATATCTATCGGCTTTGCTCGGTGCAGATGCTCTGTAGGTTTTGGACCCACGCACACCGGTCATGCTGGCGGTCGTGCCAAGGCCCGGTAGATGAGGTAGATGAGGCCTGGCCACCAGCGAGGCCCTGCCCCCGCAGGATGCATGGTCACCACATGGGAGGGCTGAGTGCATGGAGGGCTGTCAAGAAAGCCTGGGCTGGCTGATGGATGTGTTGTCTTGGCTGCGGTCACAGGAGGGCACTGCCAATCTCGCTAAGCATCCACCCGTCATGCGTGTGCCTGGCTGCAGATCTATCTGAAAACATTCACTGGGGGCCAGATTTGGACTCTGCTGTGTGTTAGGAATGAAACACTAAGTGCTTCCCTCAAGGAACCTCAGTTCTTGGAGGAAGAACAAACACTTGAACTCTTTCGATGTGGGGCAGCCAGCCCCATGACATGATTAAGGGAGGGCAGACTGCTTCAGGGCCCAGGAGATGGGCAACTGGTGCTTAACAGTCTTGGGGGAATGTCTCCAAGATGACCTTGAACTGGGTATTGAAGGATGAACAGGAGTTCACCAGGTCTGCGTGTAGAGAGCAGGTGGCATCCAGGCCAGGAAGTGCAAAAAGGTTTGGCATGCTTAACTAGGTTAGCCCCTTTCCCCTCCCGGGGCTCCTCTCCATTTAAGAATCCAAGTTTTGGAAAGACACAGGCAGCCGTCAGTGGGATGATCATATTAGGAGGGCCTGGCCTTCCCCCCAGCAGCATTGCTTGTCACTCCCTGCAGACCCTCCCCCTGGCCAGTCCTCTCTGCTCAGTCTGAAGAGGAAGAGGCCCCCTCTCTCCCTCCCCCACCCCTAGGGAGGGAGGCAAGGCCGCTCTGGGGCTGGGAGCTTCTGCCCTGCCCCCAGGCAGGAGGTTGGTCTCTATGTGGGATTTTTATGTCGGTGCCCAGGACCGTGAGGCCACGGGTTGCAAACTAAAATTCCACGAGGGGCCCAGAGCTCTGGCTGTCTGCGGATCGTCTGCCTCATCCAAAGGGGCAGCGGGTCCTCAGCTCTGCCTGGATGGTCACCTGGTGAGCTCCCCCGATATTCGAATGTTGGTTAACTAGTTGATAACAGCTCCGCAAGGTGAATGATCAGACAAAACCGGTCTGCGAGCTGAGTATGGCCCATGGCCCAGAGTTTGCAGGCTCTCCTACAGCGACAGATCCACAGGCAGAAGGAGACTCGGTGTGGGGTTCCCAGGGTCCCCTGCCTCTGTCACAGGCACGGTCTCGGTTCCCAGGGCCAGAGGTGAGCTCCACAGAGCCCCACATGTGGCTCTGGCTGGTCTGCGGTCCCAGCCAGGCAAGCTGTCCTCAAGACAGACACAGAGCTGGGCCTCCTATCTTCCTTGCTCCCTCCCTCCCAGGAGCTGCCACCCCGCTGGGCGCAGGACTGGGGGACCCTCTTCGGGCCTTCCTCCTCCTTCCTGGATATTTTCCAGCTCCTGGCGGCACCCCCAGCCCACAGTGCTGCCCTTGCGGGGAGGCTCTGCTGGTGCTAGGGTGTGCGTGTGTCATGGGGCAGAGTCTTTACCGGAGGTCCTACCCAGGCAGCCACCTGGCCCTGGGGCCCAGTTGCTCAGTGCACTTGCTGGGATTCAGGACCTGGGGACTGCCTGGAGCAACAGCTGCTCCTGGGGCCTCTCCAGGCCTTAGGTCAGCCTTGATCCCAGGCGAATTAACTACCATCTGGCCTTCTTCCTCACAAAGGAGCCTCAGCAGGGCATTCTGGGCTAATCCTGGCTGGTGGGGGCTGGGCGGGCTGACCTTCACCCTCACGCTGGTGACTTGGAGGACAGGCTGAACTGTTTCCACCCCTTCAGTCCCTGGAGCTGCCACGAGGGTGTCTGAGATGGGCCGTTTCTGGACTTTCCAAGCAGAGGGGGGCTCTCAGGGACCCCTCACAGGCGGGGCAGCTGAGGCTCAAGGGGCTGGTTTTCTCAGCCCTCCTCCTCCTTGAGTGGGGCAAGCCCTGTGCCCAGTGCAGGGAGAGGCTGGGACGAGCGGGGCCTACCCCCGTGCCTCCTCTAACTCACATCAGCTCCATGACCACAGGTGCAGCCGAGGGGGCCAGAGCTCAGACAGGTGCCCAGGCTCCCTGCTAATCAGCAGCCCCTGGGGATGCCAGGCCGGCCCTCTGGCCCCTGGAACTTGTGCCTTTCCCTCCCTGCAGGTCACCAACCTATGGGCTCAGGTCTCCCCGGGAGAGAAATGGGTCGGGGCTGAGCACCAGGGCCAGGAAAGGTGAGAGCGTTCCCCCTGGAGCCGAACGTGAACCTGGCCTGTGTCGTTTCCTAGTTGGGTAACCTTACGCAACTGACTTCATGCCTCTGGGCTCCAGTCTCCCACCTGTGGAGTGGGGATAAGGGCTTCCCTCGCTGGGGCCTGTGGAAGGAGCTGATGGAAAGAGCTGGGAGAGTGCTTGGCCTGGAACACAGTGCACCACAGTCCTTCCGGGGGCCTGTTGGGGGCAAACAGCAGCAACAGCCCCAGGCCGGTGAGGCTGTAGCAGGACTCAGCTCCGAGCACGCAGGCCAGACGCCATCCGCTGTCTTTCCTTCCAGCACACAGGGGTCTACCCCATCCTGTCCCGGAGCCTGCGGCAGGTGGCGGAGGGCAAGGACCCCACGGAGTGGCACGTACACACGTGCGGGCTGGCCAACATGTTCGCCTACCACACGCTGGGCTACGAGGACCTGGATGAGCTACAGAAGGAGCCACAGCCTCTGATCTTCGTGATAGAGCTGCTGCAGGTGCGCCCTCGGGGTGGCAGGGGCAGAGGGCTGTCCCAGCCTCAGAGAGCACGCGGTGTGGGGAGCCTCCCCTCGCTGGTCCCGGACATCATTGCCTTCTCTCTAGAGCATGAGAGGGTTCCTAAACCACTGCCGCATTTGTGGGGTGGTGGGAGAGGGTCCAGCCTGGGTTGGGACTCAGGTTATGGCCAAGAATGAGGTTCAGCCCGACGGCTACATGGGTGAACAAATAAGGGAATGGTGTCAACAATAGGGCCTTTGTGGGCCTGCTAGGACAGTTGTGCGGTTTGTGCACTGCACAAGGGCCTCACTCCAAGGTGCTCATTTTAGACCTGGTAGATCTGAACTTTCATGATGGCAATTTCCCAGCAGGTGGCAATGATGTGTCTTGTTCTAGCCAAGTGAGTATGGAGACCGTCTTCTGAACATTGGAAGTCCAGTGTTGACAAGGGCTGTCTGTCCGTAACTTGCATAAAGGTGCTGATTTAGGGCGGGCTCGGCCGGTGGCTTCCATCTCCTATGCACGTGGATGTGACCAGCAAGCATGCTTGCAGAGAAGGCAGAGGAGGCGGGTTCCCAGCTGCGGGGGAGCAGGTCCCCCGGTCCCCGCCTCACCCGCCTGCGCTGTCCGGCCAGGTGGAGGCCCCGAGCGAGTACCAGCGGGAGACGTGGAGCCTGAACAACCAGGAGAAGATGCAGGCGGTGCCCATCCTCCACGGAGAAGGGAACCGGCTCTTCAAGCTGGGCCGCTACGACGAAGCCTCCAGCAAGTACCAGGAGGCCATCGTCTGCCTGAGGAACCTGCAGACCAAGGTGGGGGGCTGCCCGCGCAGCCAGAGCGGGGGGACGGCAGCAGGGGTGGGGGGCAGGTGGCCCCGCTCACGGCGGACCGGCGTGCTCCCCCCGCCCCCCCGCGCGCGCAGGAGAAGCCCTGGGAGGTGCAGTGGCTGAAGCTGGAGAAGATGGTCAACACCCTGATCCTCAACTACTGCCAGTGTCTGCTCAAGAAGGAGGAGTACTACGAGGTGCTGGAGCACACGAGCGACATCCTGCGGCTCCACCCAGGTGCGGCGGCGCGGGGCGGCGCGGGGGGCGGGGCGGGGCGGGGCGGGCAGGGCCCGCTGGTGCGTAGGGCGGGGCGGCACTTGCAGGGCGGGACGGGCAGGGCCGGCAGGTGCACGGGGGGGGGCGGGGCGGGGCGGGGCGGGACGGGCAGGGTCGGCAGGTGCGCGGGGCGGGGCGGGGCGGGGCGGCAGGTCCAGGGCAGAGGCCCTGAGGGAGGCCTTGGTGCTCATGCGCAGCCGCCGGGACTCGCAGGCAGCAGGCCTGCACGCTGGTGTCCCAGCATTGGTGCCGCTGGTGGGGAGCAGGTGTTTGTGAGCGAGGTGCGGGGGGACGGTCGTGCACGGTGGAGTGACTGCGGGTGCGCTGCGACATCGCTCTCCTGCTGTGCGCAGGGGGCTGGGCTCCCTGTGCTCCTCACCTCCTTCAGTGCCCAGAGTAACCCGTTGGGGCGGGGGCGGGGGCGGGGGCGGGGAGGGGGGCCTGGAGCCCACGTCTTGCGGGGAGCCCACGGGACCGAGTAGGAGGTTACAGGTCTGGAGTTAGCTCTGGGGCCTGGCGGGGTCCCGGCAAGGGAGGGGAGTAGCTCTTGCTGCTGTCACCCACACGTACAGCCGAGGAGGCGGCCCCCGGGGCACGGAGAGGTTAAGGATCGCCGTTAAGGCTAAGAGTTTTGTCAGCAGTGAGGCCGCGCCTGGAGGGGGTCAGCAGGCGTAGTGTCATCCTCCCCTCAGGGATCCTGAAGGCCTACTACGTGCGGGCCCGGGCTCACGCGGAGGTGTGGAATGAGGCGGAGGCCAGAGCGGACCTTCAGAAGGTGCTGGAGCTGGAGCCGTCCATGGGGAAGGCGGTGCGCAGGGAGCTGAGGCTTTTGGAAAACCGCCTGGAGGAGAAGCGGGAGGAAGAGCGGCTGCGCTGCCGGAACATGCTGGGCTAGGGCGCGGAGCGGGCCTCCCCGGCCTCCCCTGACTTCCCTGGGTACTTCTGTAGCTGTGCACACTTCCTCTAGAACGCTCTCTCGGGTCCACGCCACTCCCTCTGGGCGGGACAACCACTGGGACTCCCCACCCCCGCCCCAACACCTGGCTTCTGTCCATAGTCAAAATGACATTTTTTGCACTTTGTCTGGGAGGCCTGACTAAAATGAAAAAAACAATAAACAGTGTAAGTAAATTTCCCCACAGGCCCCACGTGGCACTGTGATCGTGGTTCTTCCCCTGTGGTCCCCAATCCATGGGCCCAGGGTCACCAGAATGAGGCTGTTCCTGGTGGCAGGAGTGGCTGCGAACACTGTGATGTTTTCTTTCTCCTTCCCCTCTCTTGTGTCACCAGGAGGCTTGAGGTGTCGGTTCCCCGCCCCTGCCCACAGAGGAAAGAGGGTTGATGTTTGGTGGGTTCTGCTTGTGGCTAAGGGCCGCCTGTCTTGGGCGGGGGTGGGGGGGTAGGTGGCCAGCACGGCCCCGGGGGGAGGAGGTCAGAGCAAGGGGATGCTTCAAGCTGGGGAAGCCAGAGTGGGACAGTCGCCTGCCTCCCGATGGCCCCGGGAGGCTGGACAAGCAGGGGCCCCAGTGGGGGTCAGAGGCAGGGGCCCCAGTGGCTCAGAGGCAGAGGCAAGCCTGTCTGAGGACCGCGAGCTCCGGCCCGAGGGTTCCCGGCCCCTGTGCTCATTTCCATTTCCTGTGTGTACCTTCCTTCCCTCTCCTCTGAGGTCCGTGAGGACCTGCCCCCAAATGTGGTCCCCCCCAGTAGGACTGATGCCCGAGTGTGTCCCATGGCCCTGCCTGGTCCGCTGTGCAGACCAAATGGTCAGCCCAACCATCTCCCCTCCTGATGCCCCAGGACCTTTGCAAGCCCAAGAGAGAAGAGGGGCAGGGCCAGGACACGGAGGGCTGGAGGGCTGTGTGACCTTAGTGCTCCTGGTGGGGATGGCCCCGGGCAGCCGGAGACCCCTCCCCTCATCGCAGAGTCCACAGGGGTCCCTCCGGCCGCGCCATGCAGTGGATTAAGATCAGTCGCATTTCCACTCTCATCTTTCTAGGCTTGCTCTCCCCCAGCCCCACCGGCCCCCAGCCTGTGCACCTGCCCTTTTTGATTTTACAGTAGACACAAGGCCAAGGGCAGGGCAACAGGACCCTTTCCAGGAATCATCTCAGGCCTCATCTGGCTAGTGTGGGCTTTGGGGAGAAGCCCCGGGGCCCCCGTAGCACGTGGCTGCCCCCTCCCCCCCGGGGGCCTCTGGCCTCTACGTCTGCTTCCCCACCTCCTGCAGCTTCTGGAGGCTGATGCCCTCCTGCCTCTGAGACCCCCCCGGGCGGCCATCAGGTCTCCTGGCCTGCCTGCGCCCTCCAGCCTCCCTCTTGCCAGCACCCTTCTATTGTGCCAACTTGCTCGAACCATTGGCGCGGTCCCCCCACTCAGCGCACTTAGCTGGGTCACATGGCAGGTCCTTCTGCCACAGCGGGCCACCTGCTCACGGGCTCTGGGGATTAGGCTGCCAGCCTCTTTGGGGAAAGACTGTCTTCAATCTCACCTGTACCACATGGCCCAAGCATGGGGGGCGCCATGAGCACCTTGTCCACACGGTCTGGGGACCCCTTCCCCGACCCTGCCTGCTGCGGGCTCCGTGGAAGGTCAGGCCGAGCCTCGTCTTCCTGGTGCGTGTGTGCAGAGCTCCTGACTTCAGGTCCTCGTCAGCACGAGGATCTGATGAACAAAGATTCTTGCCTTGCCTCCCGCTACCAACGCAGACAGCGTCGGAAGACGTACTGGGCGTCTGTCTCTCCCCAGCAGTCTCAAGGCCGGCGGCCGCTGCGGACAGCGCCGTCCCGGGCAGGTGGCCCGTTCTACCCATGTGGGCCGGTGTCAGCCACCTGGACAACGCCCGCTGCGGACGGGGGCAAGGAACCCCGGCTGAACCAGAGCATTTGTCCGTGGAGAACATCGCCGTTCTCACACGTGCAAGGGCCCTCAGGAATGGTCAGCCCAACCTCTCGCTTTGTGGGTGGGGAAACTGAGGCCCACAGATGAGGACGGGCATAGCCGAGGTCACCGCGGTAGTCATGGACAGAACCAGGGCTAGGGTCGCTTGTCCACACTGACCGGGGAGCCTCGGGAGGGAGGGAAGGAGGGCCCTGCCCTCCAGCACAGTGGAGGGGCTGGGGGAGAGACGGGGGGGACGGGGTCAGGTGTCCGAGGCTGGGGTCCCTGCAGCGGCTCCTGCGGCTGGGGAGTACTCCCGCCACGTTCTCCCTGGTGGCCCAGAATCCAGAAGCAGAGTCTGATGAGGGCCCCCTGCAGAGAAGGGTGGAGGAGGCAGGAGGAGGGAGGGGAGGAAGATGAGAGGGAGAAGAGAAAGAGCGTGTTTAAGAGGACACGGCGTCCCCTCCCAGCGAGCTGACCTCACGGCCCAACCAGACCCTCCCTCAGGGAAGAGTGGGGGAGGGGGGAGCCAGTGTCTGCAGCCCCCGCCACTGGGTGCAGAGTGACCTGGAGCTCACAGCCCGGGCACCGCATCCTACAGACGCCTAGGCGGGAAGGGGAGGGCAGCGTGGTCCAGCGGCTTTGAATTCAAGCAGCGGCGATGATTTTGAGTTTCCCGGCGGCCACGCTAAAAAGGTAAAGAAGAAATAGGTGACATTAATGTTGACCCAATATGTCGAAACACTACCGTTTTTCCCTAAATGAGATGCTTTGCGTTTTGTTTCTGACATGGTCTCTGGGTTGATCCTGACTCGGCCAGCGTGTGGTAGTGGTTCCCCCCCAAACCCTGCCCCACACACTACAAACTAGACTCCTTCTGGGGCTTCATGTGAACGTGCTCCAACAGTGGATTCCCCTCTGTGCTCTCTCGCTGTTAGCACATAAGCCTGTGGGTTCAAGCAGAGGTGTGCTCCTGGTGGCCTTTGCCCAGGGTGGGGACAGGGAGACAGACAACAGACCAAAAGACGCCACCTATCCTCACTGTCATTCTGGTTGTGATGGGGCCCTGTGCAAGGCCGCTGGGCTGCTACTTACAGTTGTGTGTGTTGTGTACTGCACAATCCAGGGGGGGCCGCCTGTTTACCTCCTTGTCATCTTAGGTACATGTAGTTACTGCAAATTCCCAGCAGATGTCAGGAAAGTGTTTTGGGGAAGGTGCAGCTTTTCCTAATTTGCTCGGTTGCTATATTGGCTAATGTTGGCCCTGTGTTTCCACTGCGTTGGCCTGAAGAAGTCAGTTTCTGAGGGCCAGGCCTGAGGATGTCCACATCTGACACTGCCCAGTACTCATTGGCCAGAGCATGCCAGGAGTGATGGCCGGCCAGTGATGCCGGGGCCCCTGGGTCCTTCTCTCAGCCAGTGGAACGGCCTCTGGGATGGGTGGCCTGGCTGGGGTGGTGGGTAAGCCAGGACAAGGGCACGGTCACCCCTGCAGACCGGCCCACAAGTGCTGCTGAGGCCTGGGGTCCTATCCTGAGGACAGGGCTACTCCCCCTGGGAACTCACATGTGGACGGACTCTGGCACAGGACGCAGGCTGGCGTCTTTGTGTCCCTCCCGCCACGCCCTCTGACTTCCACTCCATGCTCCTGCCTGACCACACTGTCTTCCCGGGGTCCAGTAAGCGTGCCCCCCGCGTTCTGGGGCTGTGCCGGGACCTGGCTGCTGCAGTCTGGATCCGTTCCCCACGGATTCCCTGCGTCCTGCCTGCAGCTTGGTCAAGTCCCCTCAAAGAACCTTCCTCAAGCTCCCCACACTGATGGTGCTTTGGGATCCTGGCCAAACCCCAGCTGATGTGCTCACCCGGCCAGTTCAGTCTTCCCAGTGCCCCGCCGAGTGGCTTTCTCACCCTCTCCGCACCCCTGCCTCCATACAGTGTTCGCAGAACTTGAACGTGGGACAGTTTAAGTGACCTGCCCGCGGCTGCCCGGCCAGGTCCCCGCAGAGCTGGGATAGGAAGCAGAGATGACTGTCCAACCTCAGCCCTGGCCCCAGGGCTGTCCCTTCGTGAGGCATTCGGCTTCTGGATGGTGACCGTCCTCCGCGGGCCTCCTGTCTCTGACACCGGGGTCCCTATGACCATCGATTGGGTTGTCGGATGAAGGCCGAGCATGGCTGTCACGCATTAGCCACAGTGGTCACTCCAGGTTCTCAGATACCGACTCGGTGACACCTGCTTGGTGTATCGGCACCAAGCGGAGGGCCAGTGCTGTGGCCTGGAGTCACCTCCTTGCATGCCTGGGCCACACTCCAGTAGTCCTGGCCCTCTGCGGGCCTCCTGGGAGCCCGTGTTCAGGTGCCTCTGTTTTCTGGGTCTCGGTGAGGCTGAATTTTCTCCGCCTGCTGGAGCCCCAGCAGCTCCTGCCTGCGTGGGAGGAGGGATCTGCCGCCTGGAGAAGCCTGGTGCATATTTTGTGCCAATCTGAACTGTGCAACCTTTCATGGGCGTCCCCATTCCGTCATCAATACCGCAGATGGCCGGCCCCGAGGCCTCACCCCCTTCACACGGCTTTTCGGGTCCCCCGTGGGGAATTTGAGCAAGAACAGTGACCCTTATCTGGAAAGTTTATATTCACCCTGCAGATAGGTTTGCTTTTGTCTCTTAAAAATGCCTTTTCTTTCCCCAGGACTTGGCATCTCCGGATGCCCCGCAGGCCACCCTGCCTGTTCCTGGGCCCGGCATCCCCAGGCGCCAGCTCTGGGCTCGCTCCAGAGTCCAGATCAGAGGAGGGAGGGGAGGCTTGCAGCGGGGGGTGGTGGCAAAGAGGCCCCCTCTGATTCGGTGATGCCATCAGCCACCTCTCTACACGCTCCCTCCCCGAGTGCCTCTTGCCTCGTTCTGGCTAATTGAGAACAGCTGCCCACAGTGGGAACGATTTCTGGCGGCCGTGCAGAAGCCAGCTTCCCAGGAAGGCTGCTGGAGGGGACCGGCGGTTAGCTGGGGATTTAGGGACGGGCTCTCGCGGGCTGGGCCGCTTGGCGAG